AAATATATGTTAGGGGAAGTGTGGGTGGTCTTTACTAAAGCTGCTATCTTTACAAACAACATCTTTTATTGTACATTACGTGCAGAATATCCTGACCTGATGGTCTTTTAAAGCATATCAAATATTAGGATATTGTTGTAGCTTCAGTTTCTCTTTGAGAGTAGAATCATTTGAGTCTTTGATACATAAATACACTGCCTTAGCTGATCAGACTTAGTTTATTTTAATAGGTATGTGTACTTTGTTGCAATTTATTCATTTTTAAAGACATTTTAATTAATAAGAACAGACGAATCTCATGAATACACCACCAGGTCACATGAAGAAAATGAAACCTATGTTTAGGACCATTTATATTTCTGACATTGTGACATTATTTTCAGTGTAATACAATGCTTTTATTTCAATAATACATTTCTTAACATATCAATATTAATAATTTATCTCTACTTTAACATGTACATCGTCATGAAAACAATGTTGCATATTTGCATTGCAACAAAAAAAAAATCGTACTGGTTCTAAAATATAGAATTCATTTTTTTTAATGCAAAATATATGTGATTTTTATGCTTTTTTTAAAAAAAAAATCCTTTGGATTTTAGAGGCAAATATGACCAGGGCATGTTTTTGACAGGTTTCATGAGATTCACGCAAAAAAACGTTGTACCTCTGGATTCAAAGGAAAATATAATTTGACTCCAAAGGGAATATTTACCATGCTCTATTATTTAATTTGCAAAAAAAAAAAAAAAAAAATGAAATGCAGACATTTTGAGACAACCACACGTGACAGCATCTGACACTATTGAATGTGCTGTTGTGTTGTGCAAGGACTTGGACAAGATGCCTTTTACAAAAGTATATTTTGGTGTAAGATATATTGATCTAGAACATAATTATCATGCTTGGATTGATTTTGTTGGTGAATATGAATTCCTTGTAAAGATATCCAGTAGATTGGTTTGGCTTTGACTATCTCCAGACTCTTTCATTGATGTTTTTTTCTCACTTCAGCAGTCACATTGATCGCATTGTTTACTCTGAGCATTGCTTTTCCAGACAAGCAGTTATATGCCTCAACAAAAACAGCATTCGCACCCTGTTGCCAGCCGTTGCACTTTTCAGTTCATTTGCATGGTACTAAATAAAAATATTATGTTGTACAAATATCTTCAAGTGTCCACAAGTTATGGTATTTTATGTAATCAGTTGGTTAAAACTGTTTCTTCAAATAATTTTGCACAAAATGCTGTTCTAACTTTGTGAATTGCAATATGTTGATGCAATATACACAACAGCCACTAGATGTCTTTGAGCAATTAGATATTTTTTCTAATAAGACAATATCACATTAAATGGATAGTTCATCCAAATATGAAAATTCTGGCATTAATTACTCGCTTGTAATACTTTCGTTCATCTTCGAAACACAAATGAAGATCTTTTTGATGAAATCTGAGCGCTTTCTGTCCCACGCAACTACCAATTTGACGCTTCAAAAAGTTGGTAAAGAGATCGTAAAACTAATCCATATGAATTGAACGGTTTAGTCCAAATTTTCTGAAGAGATTCAGTCGCTTTATATGATGAACAGATTTAATTTAGGCTTTTATTCACATTTAAACATTCATCAACTCAGAAGATCAAGCATGTTCGCTTGACGAGAACCAATGAGGTTCATTGATTCTTGTCTTACGCATCACGTTTGAGCTTCAGCAAGAACCAATGAGCTGTGTTTTGGGTGAACATTTAAGAATATATAAACAAAATGAACTAAAATGAATGTCTAACTAGTAAAGTGAGATTAACGTCCTAATTGGTTTATAAAAAATTAAAATAAACTTTAAATCCTTAGGCTACTTGTCTGGTTTATACTACTCTGAGCAATGTTTGAACTTTGTATTTTGAGCACTTCTTGTGTTGTTATTGCCTCTTCACGATAACTCGTTTGGTTTAGTCCTCAGATGTAAGTCGCGTTGGATAAAAGCGTCTGCTAAATGACTAAATGTTAATATATTAACTCGCCATTATGCAATTTGACTTACTAACGTTACATGGTATAAATACACAGTGACGTGTCATATGTGTTGTAAATACGTGTATTAAACTGTCTCCTCCTCATTATTTACGAAAATTCAGTTTACATTGAAACAACGGCAGGTTGTTCCTCTAAATTTAGCTTTTTATATCACCCAAACATGCTTCCAGTCGTCCCATGATGCATAAACACATCAGGAAATCAACATTCATATTCAACGTGCAGCGCACTGCATTCCTATTGGCCGAGAAGGACAACATCCGTTGCTTTCGTCAACCAATCATCTGAACGAAGGGAGGAGCCGATGAGAAAAACAACGGCTATTCTATTTTTCAACCAATCAGAAGGAAGTTGAAGGGCAATCCGCCAATCAGCGGCGTCGGGTGGATAAGTGTTTTGTGCTGCTAGTTCTCGGCGCTGGAGGGTGGGGTGCGATCCCAGAAGCGCAGCTGGTTTGGTCGGATTTACTGTTGAGTTCACGGGTGAGTCGAGCTTATATCAGGCGCTGTCTTTAAACTAATGAATGTGATTTCGTTTCGAAGAGGTTTGGTTTTGCAGTGGCTGGACTGAGCCTATGGGAAACGATAAAGCCGTGTTTAATTTTGTCATTAAGTTGAAATGATGCAGGCAGAGTAGCTCGTTAGCGTAGCACCAGCTGTTCATTACGTTGAACTACATTGATGATGGTGTCAACTTTGACCCCTAAACTGTCAAGTTATATGTTTTATGATGGCGTGGTTAATAAATGCACAATATTCCTTCTGACACAAATTTGTACTGTTTTATTAATTGTTTTTATTTTTGTACGTAACATGTAGTTGTTAATGTCCTAAGCACACTTCCTGTTCTTGGAGAAATATGTTTAGGATGCAAGGTGCAACTTCTAAAACAATGTTTGACAGTTAGTCCACATGTTGAACAAGTTTGGATGACGAAATAAAATATTAAATGGGCTGTATAGCCATTTTCTGCCTTGAGGAGGGAGGGCAAAGCAAACAAAAGACAATTGAACAGTATGGTGCAATTAAAAATGCAGTAATCTGCAACACAAGGAGCTTAAAGACTGCATGTTTAACATTTTAGTGCTTCTTTAGAAACGTTTACATGACCCACCGTCCGGTTCAAAAGTCTGAGATTATTAGTTTGCATTATTGCTAATTTTCAGCATGTGAAATTAATTAAAAAGGGCATTATTTTGGGCTTGACCACAGCGGTGGAGCTGTCATGATCTCTAGCTTGATTTCAGATCTTCTAAAGTGCAACTAAATCTTTTAAAAAAAAATCTGTCTATACTAAGAGTCACATGATCAATGTCACTAATGTACTATGATATTGATTTAATTTGGTTAAAAGCCTACAGAAGTGGAGAATGGGAAATAGAGAATATTTCTGGGTCATTTTACATCATAACTTTTCTTTGCTGTAAAGGAGTATGGTATTATTAGATTATATCCATATTGAATCTAAACTCAAGTTTAGTAGTGCAGTAATATATCTAATCTTTTGTAATGTTCTTAAAGGGATAGTTCACCTGAAAATTAAAATGGTCATTTACTCCCCCTCATGTCGTACCAAACCTGCAAGACATTCGTTCATCTTCAGAACACAAATGAAGATCTGAGAGCTTTCTGTCCCTCCAGACAAACTGTAGTGTAGTGTTGGTTTACTGTTAATATGAAGCCGTGTTGAAGAATTAGAATGTTTTACCACTTGTAGTGTCACTTTGTTTAAATTATGAGAACTTCTTTCATCAGAGGGACTTGACCTTTGCTCATGACCTGGATAGATTTATCTATCTGTTTTGACTCTTAAAAACATAGTTTTGATTGATTACGGAGACTACATTGTACAGATGTCATACTATATACATTAACAAGAGCCATATCTAAACATTCTGTTATGTATGTATATAATAAATAAAATCACAGCGCTCGTTGCAATGCAGAGAAGATTAATGAGCCATTGGCCTGTCACATATATATATAAATACATATATATGAGTCAGTTAGATTTTGTAATGCTTTTGCTCATCAAGGCTGCTTTTATTTGATCAACAAATACAGTAAAAACTGTAATATATTGTGAAATAGTGTTACAATTTAAAATGCCTTTTTTCTATTTTAATTAGGGCTGTCAAACGATTAATCGCAATTAATTGCATCCAAAATAAAAGTTTGTGTTTTCATAATATATGTGGGTGCACTGTGTATAATTATTTTATATATATATATATATATATATAAATACACACACATGCTTGTATAAATTTAAGAAATATTTTTCTTCATGTATATACTGTATATATTTATATATAATATATTTATAGAAATAATTGATATATAAATTATATTTTTCTTAAATATAAATGCATGTGTGTGTATTTATATATATATATATATATATATATATATATATATATATATATATACACAGTGCACCCACATATATTATGTAAACAAACTTTTATTTTGGATGCGATTAATCGTTTGACAGCCCTAATTTTAATGTTTTAAAATGTAATTTATTTCTGTGATCAAAGCTGAATTTTCAATTTTTTTTGTTTAATTAATGTCATATTATTATTTCCAGACTTTTTTTGTGCGTAAAGGGTAGGTCGATAAACAGTTTAGTCATATATTAGAATATAATCTGTGCCAACCCATAACATGTTTATGAACACATTTTTTTTACCCTTGCATGAAATGTGAACTAATATGGGGGAAAAAATGCACATCACAATAAAAAGTCTGGACAAATTTTATGCCAAGATGCAGGCCTGTCTTTAGAAAACCGCTAGGAGTTTTTATTCCAAAATGTGTGTCCTATGAGGAGCGATGACCTCTAAGGTATATTATTCATAAATATAATTATGTATTTAGGAACAACCTGGCTCAAATGTGAAGTACCCCTCCCAAAGTCACATGACTGTAGTTCCGTGAATCACCTGTGAGGTCGCTGTTGAGACACATCCACATTACACACATACATACACAGACACACAGGATTTTACACTGAGAACATTAAGCAGGCAGACGGCAGGGAACATCCCCGACGTCCCTTTCCTAGTCCGTGCGAGTATTTCACAGAGCCAAATGCCCGGTCCGACCCAAGCTCTGTCCCCCAATGGAGAGAACAACAACGACATCATTCCGGATAACAACGGCTCCAACATCATTCCCTACAGAAAGAACACAGTGCGCGGAGAGCGCGCCTACAGGTACACCACTGCCATTACCATCCGCCGGCCGCTTTACAAAGAAAACCCGCTTAAAACGAGTTACTATCAATGCATTCAGCCGAAAACAACAAGATCATTGGTTTAAATCCTTGCTTTTCCAATGCACTCGCTCGGGGAACCCCAAACTCCCATTGCGGCTGCGTTATATCTAACGTTACCGTTATTGGTGGGGCTTTTCCTGAGCCAGCTATGGCGTTTTCCCGATGGTGCAATCATCAAGAAACCACGTTTAAAGCTTTTTTGGGAATGCGTTCGTGCTCTGAGGGGTTCCCCCAAACATTATGCATATGTTTTCGGACGTATGTATGTTGGGATGTGGGCTGACAGGGTGCTTTCCCAGGTTTTGACAGTGCATGGCCTGTATGTTCACGAAGCAGTCAGCCATTGCGTAATGTAATTCATTTCATCCTAACCCCAAAATGTGTTCAGATTGTCGGCTGTGTCGTGCATATCGTGCCTAATACTTGGTAATATTTCGTGCACGAGTAAAAAAAAAATGATTGCATGTGTTTTACGAGACTATAAAGATGTTTTGGGTTGATGGCTTTTGTTGACAGGGATTTTTCCCTCCCCCTTCATTCCAACATCTCTCTAAACTGTTTATCTTCCCTGCTAAATTTAGATGAATCTGCTCTTTAAGCACAAAAGCACTTATGTCTGGAAATGCAATGTGCTTTTAAGCTCATTAAAGCCTGGAGATATTAATATGTCATTCTGGAGAGTTTTAAACGAAATCTTGAAGAAGAGATGTGGGTTTTCTTGAGGGATTCGGTTCATTATTCATATGATGATGATGCACTAGGAATTCAAGAGAAAATGGGATTAATCTGGATATTTCAGTTGTTTGAATTAGGTTACTTTATTACAAACAAGTTGAGATGATCTTTGATATGTTTTTATGCTTAATTGTGACATTTTATAACTGGATGTGGACAGTGCTAATTTGTTAGAGTTTTAAAATTATTATTAATATTAAGCAATCACTTTGTACTAGGGATTCAATATATTTCAGGACCACGTCCTTTATAATCTGATTGATTTTTAATGCTTGTGGCAATCGTCATATCATGTCATAAAGTAATTTAAGAGCTGTCCCACAGTTTATCTTTCTAAAAAATAATAATATATCTGTGTATTATAAAGTTGCATAAATTAATTTAAACATTGGAACAGCGATTTTACATTCACAAGACTGATTTAAGAGTTTAGTTTGCTTTCATTTAATTTTATAATCAAAGTAATTCAGATTTTCAGTACTGGTCATAAATCGGTTATCGGCCATAACATGAAATTAATGATCAACTTATATCAATTTGGCAAGAATTTTAATATTGTTGCGTCCCTAGTTTGTTTTATTCACCTATCAAATAGTTTTGTGCTAAACTGAGAAATGTTTCAGTCATTAGCAGCTTTTCAAGGACACAAAAAGTATTTTTTGTGTGAAGCAAGCGAATGTGAATGCTTTGACATCAGAAACTGTTCTGAGAAGGAAAATGACTGTATTTGTGCATACATTAAAGCATATTTATTGAACCTTTTTCCAGATGTTTAGTTTTGAGAAGAAACAAAGCTCAAACGCCTCTATTTAGCGTTGTGGAGTGCTCTGTTTGGAGTGATTTCCTAGTTGACATTAGGATCATGTTACACAGTGTTTACAGGCAAAACTTGATGCTAGATGGCTGGAAAAGTTCAGTAGAGAATAAATTCAGTAACATGTAAATCTTGGGCCTTTTGTTGTCTGCGTTTTAAGTATTAGAAATATTTCGAACACTTAGAAACGCTTCATATTTTTAGTCACAAAGCATTTGTGCTGCGTCTGACTAAAGGACCGTTCACACCAAGGACACTAACAATAAAGATAAGATATGTTTCTAAAAATCGTTCTAAATAACAGAATCCACATCACAACTATAACGAGAACGGCACAGAGAAACAATATTGTTGGAATCAATTTCAGAACGATTTTTTTCCTGCTGATAAACGATAAAAACATTGACCGCCAATCAGAATCCACTGGACTTCAAAGAGCTCTAGCATTTAAAGCGGCAGGCGATATTGTGGACTCTAATATAGTAATCTCTTAATAGTGATCGTTCTTGGTGTGAATGGGTATTAAAGGAGTAGTTCACTTTTAAAAAAAAACTTTTGCTGATAATTTACTCACCCCCATGTCATCCAAGATGTCCATGTCTTTCTTTCTTCAGTCGAAAAGAAATTAAGGTTTTTGATAAAAACATTCCTGGATTTTTCTCCATATAGTGGACTTCAATGGGAAGCAAACGGTTCAAGGTCCAAAAGAGAGTTTCAGTGCAAACTGCAAACTGTTCAAAGGGCTTTAAACGATTTCAGACGATGAATAAGGGTCTTATCAAGAGAAACGATCGGTCATTAAAAAAAATTAATTATAAAGTTTACGTTTTATAAGCTCAAATGTTCTGTGTGACTCTCCTGTTCGAACTCGTTCATCAAATGAACAAATCTTTTTCCAAGTCAATTCGTTCATTTTGTTCGTTGAATGAACCAAATGACACAGAAAAAGATTTGTTCATTTTGATAAACGAGTTCGAACTGGAGAGTCCCGAACGTGCATCACAGAACAGAGCAAGGCGAGCATTTGAGCTTATAAAACTTAGTTTGTTGTTGTTTTTTTTGTTTTTTTTTTTAAATGAGCGATCGTTTCGCTTGATAAGACCCTTATTCATCGTCTGGAATCGTTTAAAGCCCTTTGAAGCTGCACTGAAACTGTCTTTTGGACCTTGAACCGTTTGGTTCCCATTGAAGTCCATTATATGGAGAAAAATCCTGGAATGTTTTCATCAAAAACCTTAATTTCTTTTCGACTGAAGAAAGAAAGACATTGACATCTTGGATGACATGGGGGTGAGTAAATTATCAGCAAAAGTTTTTTTTAAAGTGAACTACTCCTTTAAATTAGACTTGGTGCATCCTCCTATAGTGTCTTCTGTAAGTAGAATGTGTTGTACATTGCTCAGTCTGGCTCAGTCAATAGCAGAGCTGATAGTGACGTTCAGACTTTGAGCTTTCCTTCACTACATCTGCACATGATTCTGATGATGATGATGATGATGTGTCATCCACAGCTGGGGGATGGCGGTCAACGTGTATTCTACCTCAATCACCCAGGAGACTATGAGCAGGCATGACATCACGGCCTGGGTGAACGATCTGGTCAGTCTAAACTACACTAAAGTGGAGCAGCTGTCATCAGGTATTTGAACCTCCCAACTTAAACTACCACTGACACTCATTAGACACAAAGACCAATAATCCCAGTGGATTTACACTTAAGGCAGTTTGCTAGTGCCCGTCTGCCCGGCCGTAGGGCGGCTGCTGCTACCTTTAAACATTTGTGTAATGCGTTTGTCTGCTCAGGAAAGCTGCTGTAAATTCTCAGCTGCTTTAGGTAAAACAGACATGATTTATAAATCTGGGAATAGAGTACATAACACTTTGTTTTTGGGTCCACTTTAAATGCATAAAACGATATCTTCTTTCTTAAAAAAAAAAAAAACATGAAAAGCTTTGCATTGTCTAATAATACCAGAGTTTGTACCAGAGTTTTTATAGTTAACTGAATCTAAAAAAAAAAAATCATGAAATCAAAATCTTGAAATAAAATATAAAAACCCAAGCAACATTTTTTTAAAATAAATAAAAATGAAAACTGTTAATAGCCTAATTTAATGTCTATATAAAATTAAAATGGAAAATATACAGAAGTTATTAAAAAATAATAATACTAAAATAACACTGGTTATTGCATTAAATGGTATATTTAATTTTAAACAATTTAATATAACCCTTTTATAATTATTATATATGCAATTTTCTTGACTGCCTAATATTTTTCATGAGACTACATGGACATTTTTCATACCACAGGACTATTTAAATTGCTAAAAATAACTAATTAATAATTAATTCATAATAATTAACTTTAATCAAAGATATTATTTGTCAACTACTTTCAAGTGCTTTTACTTTTAATCTAAAATGACTACATTACTTTTGATGACCGCTATGATTAAGTGTCATTTACATTTATTTAATTAGTTGTTTTAAGAAACGTTAAAAAATTAGTTATGTTGGTGAATAGTAAATATAGGCTAATAAACCCCAATAATTAAGCTACAAAATCACTTTATAAAATGTATGCACACATAGCATTATTTATATTTGTAAATATAGATTTATGTATAAGTAGTTTATAGTTTTGGGATATATATCTTTACCAGGTAAATGCTGTTTACAAACCTAGAAAAGTCTGATTCAAAAATATGATTCAATAATAAATAACAATGTTAATAAATATAGTTATTTTCTAGTTAAATAGTTTGCTCTGCTCAAAAACAGAAGTAAATGTTTAGCGAACTACAAGTGTGAACACACCCTTTATAAATGTTTTATGTTTTGAATTTGTAATTGATTCTAATCTTTATCCATTAGTCATGCAATTGAGTCATTCAAATGAGTTTAAACGTTGACTAGTAATATCAAACAGTAGATTTCTATGCTTTAGCATGACCTCACATGGACCTTAATTTAGTTCAGCATAAGCACAGGTCAGGCCAGAGGTATTTAAAGATCTCAGAGACACTGAATATCCTCTGGAAGGGGTCCAGGTCTACCTAGACATTGATTTACATGACGTCCTTGGAGTCAAATGTATCCTCCCTTTAAGTGCCCTTGTTTTAGATCTGAATGAGCAGATTAAGTTTACTTCCACTATGAGATGATCGTGAAACTGAATCTAAATCTGGTTGAAAGTTTTGGAGATGTGAAAGATGCAGAATGACTTGTCTTAGCAGAACCTTGTTGACTCAGCGAATCATTTGCGCATGACGTTACAGGAGCAGCGTACTGTCAGTTAATGGACATGCTGTTTCCCGGCTGTATCAGTCTAAAGAAGGTGAAATTCCAGGCCAAGCTGGAGCATGAATACATCCACAACTTCAAACTCCTGCAGGCCTCCTTCAAGAGGATGAACGTTGACAAGGTGAGACAAACATGAGGGCGTTGCGCTTCCACTGTAACCGCTGAACACGGAAATAAAAATCTGATCAAAATCACAAGAGTAAAGTACTTTTTATTTTTTTTTAGCATGAAAGAAAGTTGTGGTTTTATCTGATAAGAAAATGCATGACAGACCCCAAAAACCCCAGTCTGTTTTTTCCATTTCCAAAAAAAAAACGTTGCTGTTTTACAAAACTTTTGCTGATAATTTCCTCACCCCCATGTCATCCAAGATGTCCATGTCTTTCTTTCTTCAGTCGAAAAGAAATTAAGGTTTTTGATGAAAACATTCCAGGATTTTTCTCCATATAATGGACTTCAATGGGAACCAAACGGTTCAAGGTCCAAAAGACAGTTTCAGGGCAAACTGTTCAAAGGGCTTTAAACGATTCCAGACGATGAATAAGGGTCTTATCAAGCGAAGCGATCGCATATTTAATAAATAAATAACAAAGTTTAAGTTTTATAAGCTCAAATGCTCGTCTTGCTCTGTTCTGTGTTGCACGTTCGTGACTCTCTTGTTCGAACTCGTTCATCAAAATGAGCGAATCTTTTTCCGAAGAGTCAATTAGTTCATTTCGTTCGTTGAATGAACCGAATGACACGAAAAAAGGTTAATTTTGATAAACGAGTTCGAACAGGCGCATCACAGTGTTGCACCGACCATAGTATAACTGGGTTTCTAACAATGGAAAGCTTGAAATCGAATGGGTGGAGTGTCCCTTTAAGTAGAGTTGTTTTTTATCATCTTCACTTTTACACCCTTCCTCTTAGATTATCCCTGTAGAGAAGCTCGTCAAGGGGCGATTTCAAGACAACCTGGACTTCATTCAGTGGTTCAAGAAGTTCTTCGACGCCAACTACGACGGGAAGGAATACGACCCTATCCAGGCCAGACAGGGCCAGGACGCCATTCCCCCTCCAGATCCTGGGGAGCAGATCTTCAACCTGCCAAAGAAATCCCTCCACGCCGCCTGCTCTCCCACCGCAGGTCTGTCCGGGCTGCTCGTGATTTATTAACAATCAGAATTAATCAACTGGCTAATTGACATCTACTAAATGTTGAGCCTCCTGCATCATGGCGTCTGTTAACTTGTGTGCAGGAGCTACTAGATCAACCAGTTCAACCCCTAAATCCTCCACCTCCACCTCCCGACCCTCCTCTGCCAAAAAGATTCCCGTGATGTCAGCGACACCCGCTAAGGGAGAGAAGGAGCTGGAAGCCCAAGTAACACAACTAGGCGAACAGGTGGACACCCCTAACCCTATTAACACTATTAAACTCTTTAAATAGACCGTTTGAGCAATCAAGAACATAACAACTCTACGTGCTGAACGAGACCATGAGATAAGATGCTATTTTAGTAGATCAGTTTGGAAGAGGTTTGTCTAAATGATTGATTTTTAGAGTTGATGCACTACTTAGACAGCTTTTTAGGCATTTAGTGAGCTAGACAGGATTTTTGGGCATCAAAGCCTATATTCCTAGACAGCATATAGGACAAGTAGTGTGCTGTTTTCCTCCTTCCTCCATCTTTCTAGATGTTCTTATGACATAATAGGCATCTTTCTAGGTCTTATTACGACATGGGCGTCTTTCTAGATCTTGCGACATCATAGGCATCTTTCTAGATGTTCTTATCCTTTTTTTCGACATCCTACTCATCTTTTTAGATCCTCTTACAACATCATAGGAATCTTTCTAGATCTTACGATATCATACGCATCTTTTTAGATCTCTTTATGACATCATAGGCATCTTTCTACATGTTCTTACGACACCATAGGCATCTTTTTAGATTTATGACACCATAGGTATCTTTTTAGATCTCTTTATGACATCATAGGCATCTTTTTAGATATTTTTATGACATCATGGGTATATTTTTAGATCTCTTTATGACATAGGCATCTTTTTAGATCTCTTTACGACATCATAGGCATCTTTTACGTCTTTTATATCTCTTTATGACATCATAGGCATCTCTTTATGACATCATGGGCATCTTTTTAGATCTCTTTATGACATCATAGGCATCTTTTTAGATCTCCTTATGACATCATAGGCATCTTTTTAGATCTCCTTATGACATCATAGGCATCTTTTTAGATCTCTTTATGACATCATAGGCATCTTTTAAGATCTCTTTATGACATCATAAGCATCTTTTTAGATCTCTTTATGACATCATAGGCATCTTTTACATCTTTTTAGATCTCTTTATGACATCATAGGCATCTTTTTAGATCTCTTTATGACATCATAGGCATCTCTTTATGACATCATAGGCATCTTTTTAGATCTCTATGATATCATAGGCATCGTTTTAAATCTCTTTATGACATCATAGGCATCTTTTAAGATCTCTTTATGACATCATAGGCATCTTTTTAGATCTCTTTATGACATCATAGGCATCTTTTTAGATCTCTTTATGACATCATAGGCATCTTTTACATCTTTTTAGATCTCTTTATGACATCATAGGCATAGCGTTCTGAAATCATTTGCATAAAGGCTTCAAAACAAAGTAATGCATTGTTAATTATGACCAATAAACAAGTAAAGGACTTTTATTGTAAATGAATTAAATTCTGAAAAGGCTGCTAAAACAGGCAGTAGAAGTGCATCTACTCAATGAAGAGTTAACGTTGTTTAGAAGCATGTCTATGTCTAGAAAGCAATAACCAGCTTTTACTGTCCATTTACACTGTTGTGTCTCTCCACTGCTGTAGCTCAACACATTAAAGCTAGCACTAGAAGGAGTGGAGAAGGAGCGGGATTTCTACTTCGGGAAGCTGAGAGAGGTGGAGCTGTTGTGTCAGGATCATGGCCAGGACAACGGGCCCTTCGTGGAGAGACTCATGGAAGTGCTGTACTCGGCTGACGACCAGGTTAGTACCTCCCGTGGAGTTTTTGTCATTAGCACAGCGAGCGTACACTGTACTTTTCTGCTCATTTTTACTTTGAAACGGCTAGTGTTACGGATACGTGGTGTAAATTTTTAGCAATCAAAAAGCATGTCTAATGAATTGAAATAATCTCTTATGAATCATCACAATAAAAAAAAAACACAATGAGCTTTACTGTTAAAATTAAAACATGGATTATTCCTCAAAATTCAGTTTTGATGATAATTTATTTGGATTAGTGTTAGTATATTACATTGGGACATATCTAAATTATACTGTACAACGCTAATATATTTCTAAGTTAAACCGAACTTTTATTTTGACGGGTTGCCGTGAAAACCTTTTGAGGTTCTGTGTGCTTGTCATGATGATAGTTTTTCTCAAATGAAGCGGTTAAATGATCATGAAGTGACTTTCAGAGTGGATCTAGAGCCTGGAGAGGAAGTTCATGTCTTCATATAGGCAAAAAAAAAAAAAACAGCGCAAGCGTCACACGTGCTTCAGTGTGTGTGCGTGTTAAATGAAACTGCGTGTTGGCGGCACCATTCATTCACACAGAACAAGAAGGATTCGTATTTAAATTGTCTTTGTGGTTTAATATCCACACACACACTAGTCTACATCGCGATTTGATTTCAAGTGTACATTCCTCAAACCATTTACAAATTTACTGCGTTATACACTAAATTCCCTTTTTTATGACTGGATTTCGGCATCATTGCAAAACAATGGTAGGGGAAACACTGTCAAGTGCTTCTGTCGCATATGTAGTGCAGTTTGTCACGATTCATGACACTAAATAAAAGACTGATTTAAGATATGTTGTTAAACTACTATACTAGGACAAACTGACATCATCTAAAATGCCAAGATCCCCCTAAATAACTAACAAACAACTGTGTGTGTGTGTGTGCGCAGGAGGCCGGCGGTGAGGAACACGAGGCTCCGGCTCAGGAGGAAGACGTTCCTGACGACACACAGGACGAATACTGAACACACATGCACTCAGTCAGAAAACTACTTTGGGTTCACTTTCTCAAACTCATGACGGTTTATTTCTCATTTGCTCTGGTGGTGAAGGAGCGAGACAAATTGGCCAAATATTCAAAGGTGTCTTTTGTCAACTTGTTTTCTTCATTTGCCCTGTTTAATTGCATCACGACTATTATGAACATGTATCTGACAGCAGCTAAAGCCCTTGATAACGACCACTGCGCAGCTACTACTTTCGGTTTTTACTTTACCAAACTCTTTCATCTCGCTACACTGATGAAGGAAAATTGATTTCTAAAGCTGTTTGTTTTTAGATCAAGTCATGAATTTGAAAAATACCGCAATAAGAGTAGTTTAAAGTGCTACCAATACCATTTGTGAAATAAAACCTGTCCAAAACTGATCATTAAATTTTGCATTGGAATATAATGCATACTGCATTTCATTTGGAAACGTTGCTCTGTTTTTCACCTTATTAGATTATATACAGTATATATATATAATTTTTGTTATTTTCTTTTTGTTTAAATATGTCTGGAAGCCAATCACAGTGTTTGATAGGACGCATTTCATTTGAACTGTGCAATCGGTATTCTGTGTCTAAACATGTTTTACTTTATATGTACAGTAAAAAAAACAACGGCCATTATCTGAAGAAAACAATGCATTGAAGATTTTTTTTTAACTGTTGTTCTAAAGCACAGGTTTTAGCATAAGAAAACATTCTCGTGATCTCCTGATACTCGTCAATATTCTCCACAGGTCAACGCTTATGTCATTTATTATTGTGTACAATGAAAAGGAATGTAAACATATGTACTGTTAATAATTATAAATAGACAATGTTTTTTTTTTTATTTCCCTCACAGTATCTCCCCTTATGCATTCCCCAAATGTGTTGCATGTTTGCATTTTATTTGTGAATAACTTGACCTGCTTTTTACATATTTAATAAAAAAGAAGAAAAAAAAACTAATTATGTTAAATGTTGTTTTTTTTATGTTTAACTTGCTGTTTTAAAACTCTGAAGATATGGATAGACTTGCACTAATAAAACCCTTTCATTTTCAAAAGGATGAAATTATTGGTTTTTATTATGATTAAGTTGCTGTTTATTTAGTGTAAAACGATTTGTTTTGTCCACTTGTAGACATGTGTTATTTAAGATCTATCAGATTATGCATACCATGCATGTATATATTTCTTATAACTCCTAAGACTCTTTTACAACAGCTGACATCACACAAATCAACATGTGTGCTATGGGAAAGGGAACTTTACTAGGTATATTTCTCAGGTGGTATTTTATTGATGTCTTTATTTCTTTTCATGTGAACAAACGTCTTAAGAGAACAGAGTAGGATGTCTTTGAAAATAAAAAACTATTCGTTCGTAATGATTATAAAAAACACTGCATCGATTTTGTACAATGTATTTATTTATTATTTTGTCGTCTTTGGAGTTCTAGATGCACTATCAGTGCTGAGCCCGAGAGCGTGCAATGACTCTGATGACCGCCAGGTGTCAGTAGTGCGCAGAGTAATAAACTAAAAGAGCGGGGGAGACGGACCGAAGAAGAAACTGACTGCAGTTTTGTGAACTACATCTGTTTGAGGAAAAAATAAGTCATAACATAATGGCCAAGGTAAGCGACCAAGAAACACACTTTCTCAAACTTTGTAGTTGTTTGGGAGAACCACTTGTATGTTTTTATTCACTGTCATTCTTCCATTCGAAGTGTAACGTTATTTATCCACCGCACAACATGCAGAAGTAATGAAAACTCAGGAGAACTAAAAATATAAATCACAAAATTAAGCTAGAGATAGAAAAATTAAAGCGACCGATATATTAATATGCATATATATTTTCACTGGGAAATTTGGACACACTTACCTTATTCTGTATTAATATTTTCCATATTTTAGAAAAATTGTTGTCATGCCAACTTAAATAACGTACGTTGTAAATTATGTAGTGACAGAAATATCTACAAACCTATTTTCCAGTGACCTGCCTTTGTCTAAATTAACAAAATGTTAAGCAAATAAAATCAAAACCACTAACCTATTTTCCAGTGCTTTGTCTTAATTAACAAAAAAATTAAAAGTGAACAATTTATATATACCGATATTCATGTTTGTGTGAATGTGGTTTCAGCGTAAGAGAAACCTGGACATGAGGTGTGTGTTATTCCCAGACGATTTGAAGGACACTTTCAGAAAGGCGGGAAAAGCTTCTGCCAGAACATCCACACCTGCCACCAAGAGCTGGGAGAGATGCGGAGACAGTTTCCTGGACACGTCTGTCATCCAGGTGCGTTACGCTACGTAGACGTCACGTCGTGCTGTTGCTCGTCTACACAAATGCACTGAACATCATTTGTGTTTGTATTTCAGAAGCTGCAAACATCAGAGAAGAAGAGCAGAAATGCACATAATGCGGCACTGGCGTCTGTTTCTGGTAACACAACCGACTGATCAATCTATAAAGTGTGAAATTAATAGTCATTCAGAGATTTATAATTAGATGAGAAGTGCAAATATATCATCAATTAGATGTTCTGCTCCATATATTTACACTAGTATTCAATTTAGGGCTTAGTAATAGATTAAAAAAAAGTTTTTTGTTTGTATTAACTAATATTATGATGTATTATTTTAGTTTTTTTATTTGAATATATTTAAAAATGTAACTTATTCCCAGTGGTGGAATGTAACGAAGTACAAATTACTTTACTTAAGTACATTTTTCACGTATCTTTACTTTACTTAAGTACAATAAATAGTGCATACTTTTTACTTTTACTTCGTTACATTTTGCAGCAATTATTATACTTTCTACTCCACTACATTTCTACAACTTCTGTTACATTTTCGTTACATTTTCTGATCAGTTTTTCCCTGCCAACATGTAATCTGACCGTCCGTTCGTTGCACGTTTGTCTCACCAGTGACGTTTGGTTGCCATAGATACAGTATATCAACCCGGTCACACTAATGCGTCTCACACGCAGTGTGTTTATCATGCAACTCATACGCAAAAATTTGTTTTTACGTGCATAGGAAACACACCGTGTGTAATATATGTTTGGTTTGGTTAGGATTATGGCAAGCCAAGAGGTTCAGAATTACACCATAAATGAATCGCGTTTACTGCCAAACATAGTTATTAATATATAGTAAGGATAAGCATGATATTGCCTAATTGCAAGCTTGTTTCAGAAATGGTGACATTTTTTTTCCATCATTATTGAACATCATTATAGGAGTAGGCTATTAGGTTGAATGAGTTAGAATTAAATGTTTTATTAATCATTAGAAAATAGACATTAAGATAATAAATTGTTATGCAAGTACTTTTACTTTTAATACTTAAAGTACATTTAAAATAAAGTACTTTTTACTTTTTACTTAAGTATGGTTGTCATTGTGTTACTTCTACTTTTACTAAAGTAAATATTTATCTGGGTATTTGTACTTTTACTTAAGTACTGAGATTCAGTACTTCCTCCACCACTGCTTATTCCTGTGATGAAAGCTGAATTTCACATGATCCTTCAGAAATCTTTCTAATATGCTGATTTGCTGCTCAAGAAACATTTCTCTTTATTATCAATGTTGAAATTTATGCTGTTACATGGTTTTCAGGATTATTTTATAAATAGAAAGTTCAAAAGAACAGCATTTATTGGTAATATAAATCTTTTGTAAACACTTTCAATCAATTGAATGTGTCCTTGCTGAATAAATCTATTGATTTAAGGGAAAAGAGATGCTGGCACAGATGAACCGGTGAACATTGCGTGGAGCTCCAGTGAAGAGGAAGAGGCAGACAATGACAGTCATCCTCCTCCTCGACTGACTGTCACACAGGCACCACATCGGCCCAGGGCACACAAACAACATCCTGTTGACTATAACAGGAGTCTGCGGATGTTCAGCACTGGCGTAGGTGAGAACAGAGTTGGTTTTGATGATGAATATGAATACACAAGGAGTTTAATTTTCAGGGTTTGACAATAAGTGTGGCTGGTTTGCCCAAGGTGAGTGTGACATTGTTTTGGGCCATCATGTATGCATATATTTTTGATCATGCAAGCATATTTTTGCTTTACACAATTTAAAATGTTGTGAATTTTCACAGATAAATTGCCATAATCTTCTAGGTGTTTATGGACCTGGTCGTCTTAGAGTTGCCTTCTATAATTTCTGGCTATTTTTGAAAATTATCTTTTTAAAGTAAAATAAATAAATAATAATAATAGGGAAAAATATGTGATAAAAATCAAGATTTTTTAAAAATAAATGTAATCATTAGAAATCAAACATTAAAAATGTCAAATTATGATTTATAATTTAAATATTAAATATTTTTGAGTGTGTTGGGGCAGTTGGCATGTAACTACTATCCTGACATTACAAGCAACAACAAAAAAATCCTTACTCTTTGAAATAAATATTAGATAGGTAGATAAATATTTATTGTCATTGTATGCAATACAACAAAATTCTGTTGGAGCAGTCTTCTCCAGATTTTTTTTAAGTGTAAAAATATGAACCTATATCCTCATATACATATACAAAACATACACAGGCACACACGCACACTCATACAAAGTATGAGTGTACAAATATGTATACTCATATACATACACACATGCAAACATACACATATATTCATACATATACATGCACACACATATACACATACACTAACACATTCTGAATAAATGTGGAATCATAAAATGTACAATATCAGATGAAATCCCCCAAAAATACTATTGCTCTAGATGACAGAATTTAATAGAAGTTAGCTTGGTTGAAGTAAAGAATATATAGTTTTCTCAGTTAAAGAGTATTAAAGTTCATATTACTCAACACGTGTAGTGTGATTATTACATGACAAGTGCTATCATGTGGAATGATGTAAAAATGTTCTCGTACAATCAAAACCTTGTGCTCTGGCTGCAGTTCTAGATGTTCAGAATATGCACCGACTTGTTATGTCATCCAGATAACACATGATATTATCTGCTGCATTTCCCACAGAGACAGATGACCTGCCCTCTATTGATTCAGACAGCGAATTAGAGGAGGACCATTCAACTTCAAAAGAGCACAGTGACTTTCTAAATCCTGTTCTGGTAAGTCAAGTTAAGTCACCTTCGTTTTGATAGCCCTTTTAACAATATACATGGTTTCAAAGCAGCTTTACGGTGATAATAGGAAATTACAGTACTAGAGATTGTTTTGGCTTTACAGGAGCTCTAGAATAAAGTTATTGTCCAGCTAAAGTTAGTTTTGATTGATTGATTCACTTCCATTACAAAGATCATTAGTTATTAACTTGGGGGCCGCAAACACGACATCGTTCTAACAGAAAACACGGTTATAGTATGTTTTATACTTTTACACTGGCAGAAAAAAAGAAGAAAGAAGAACTTTTAAAAGAAGAACAAAAATATTTTTAAATGGGGGAAATAGGAAAATATTAAAAGACAGATTTAAGGAGAAAAATGGGACCATGTGAGATATATAGGACGCACGGATGTTCAATAGATAGATAAATAGATAGATAGGTAGATAGATAGATACTGTAGATAGATAGATAGATAGATAGATAGATAGATAGATAGATAGATAGATAGATAGATAGATAGATAGATATATAGATAGATAGATAGATAGATAGATAGATAGATAGATAGATAGATAGATAGATAGATACTGTAGATAGATAGATACTGTAGATAGATAGATACTGTAGATAGATAGATAGATAGATAGGTAGATAGGTAGATAGATAGATAGATAGATAGATAGATAGATAGATAGATAGATAGATAGATAGATAGATAGATAGATAGATAGATAGATAGATAGATAGAATTCCACATATGAGGAAACACATATAACATGTAACACGTATGCAAACACACAGCTCGAAAAGTAGGGGGCGCTAGGATTCCTCGGATGAGACGTCTTGAAGGAATCATCAGGGTTCTCAATGTCTCTGCTCCTTTTAGGACTGACCTTTGGCTCAAATATTTATTTGCAACCTCACTTGGTATTAGTTTATTAATATTTGGCATTTTGTGTCACTCAAGTCATCTGATTATAAGATCAAATGTGGCTTAGCGTCATATTATTTTCCAAAACAACATGACACATGAAATAAAATAACAATAAGAAATTCGTTTAATGTAGTTAATGCTTATCTAACTCAGATCTGTTGTTTTGCCAGTGCACACAATGTGTCTAATTTCCATTATGCATCTTATAATGGTATATCATGACCTGGTTTCACAGACAGGGCTTCGATTAAGCCTCGATTAGGATTTAGTACAATTAGGGCATTTACTTAGAAAAAAAAAACATCACTGAGACTAAACATAAACAGTAACACATTTTAAGATATTTCAGTGCAAGTTGCTTTTAGTTAAAACAGCTCTAGGATAGGCTTAAGCCTTGTCTGTGAAACCGGCCATATGTGTAGTAGTACATATTATCTGAAAGCCGAAGTAGTCTTTGCTGATATGTCTTAGACATGCTAAATGAAATAAAGCTATTAAAATGAATTATCTTTAGTTAAGATTAGATTTAGATTAGAAATATACACATCATCATTAATAGTGCATTATGAACTGTGAGTTATGAACTGAGAATGTAAATTAGATGAGGCAATGAAGGTAGGTTAGGAAGTTAATAATTATCTGCCTAGCTTAACACTAATTACGATTAGCCAGACCCTTAAAAACGATAGTTCACCCAAGAATGAAAAACCTGTTATCATTTACTCACCCTTATATGGCTTTCGTGGACAATGTCTCTGTATTCGAAGAATGTTACTGCTTTTTTCTATATAAAGAAAGTCAATGGGGTCCAAAACATCATTGGATCCCTTTGACTTTTGAATGGACAAAAGCATTTGAAAAATTCTTCCAAGTATCCAAATTCTTTTGTGTTCAAGTCATCCAGTTTTGGAATGACAAAATAGTGTGAGTGGATGATGAATTTTCATTTTGGGATACACCATTTCAAATGGTGATCATTAAATCCTGATTTAATGTTTTAGAACAGGAAAGTTATTCCCAACATCTGTGTCATCAGCAATGACGTCATGAAGTAGTCTACCTTATGCTAGTGATCTTTGACCAAGATTATCATAATTCATCATGTTGCCAGTAATCGTGAATTGCACCATTATGACATGAACAGCAATTCAGTACAGACTGTGCTGGCTATATAGTTCCTTATATCTCGCCAGATATGACTGTAAAGTGCTTTGGGTGAATACTAGAGCATAGTAAAGTGCTAATTAAATGAATCATTCATTCATTCATTCTTCTGCTTCCTGGAAGAGCAGTGGTTGGCAAGTTTGTCACGTTAAAGAGATGTTATCCAGCACTGTGTAAACACAGTTATGAAATGACTGATTCATAGTTTTTAAGGCATCACAACACACAACGGATAAAAAAACCTTACCCTAATAATAAATAGATTTATTTCAAAATGAATTACATTTAAAAAATATAAATAATGATATAAATAATTCAGTAATTAATAATTCAATATTAAATATTACTCTCAGCAATTCACTGTAAAAAAAAACAATCAGATTGCAATTGTTTCAAATCATGTTTATCTTTGTGAGCGAACCAGTATTTAATGTATTTCTTGAAATAATATTTTCTTTTAACCTTGTGTGGTTTTGTTTATGGTTTCTGAGGATGAGGGTGTCACTGAACCGGTCCATTCTGTCATCTGCATTATTTATCTATCATTACCAAATGACAGGTGAATTTGTGCCGAAATGCCAGAGTTTGATTGAAAGCCTTTGACGTCAACAACATGGGAGGAATTATGTCCATTTAAAGGAGTAGTTCACTTTTAAAAACACTTTTGCTGATAATTTTCTCACCCCCATGTCATCCAAGATATCCATGTCTTTTTTTTCTTCAGTCGAAAAGAAATTAAGGTTTTTGATGAAAACATTCCAGGATTTTTCTCCATATAATAGATTTCAATGGGAACCAAACGGTTCAAGGTCCAAAAGACAGTATCAGTGCAAACTGCAAACTGTTCAAAGGGCTTTAAACGATGAATAAAGGTCTTATCAAGCAAAAAGATCGCTCATTTAAAAAAAAAAATAACAACAAAGTTTGAGTTTTATAAGCTCAAATGGTCGCCTTGCTCTGTTCTGTGATGAGCGTTCGTGACTCTCCTGTTCGAACTTGTTTATCAAAATGAACGAATCTTTTTTCGTGAGCGATCGTTTAAATGAGTGATCGTTTCGCTTGATAAGACCCTTATTCATCGTCTGGAATCGTTTAAAGCCCTGTTTGCAGTTTGCACTGAAACTCTCTTTTGGACCTTGAACCGTTTGGTTCCCATTGAAGTCCATTATATGGAGAAAAATCCTGGAATGTTTTCATCAAAAACCTTAATTTCTTTTCGACTGAAGAAAGAAAGACATGAACATCTTGGATGACATGGGGGTGAGTAAATTATCAGCAAAAGTTTTTTTAAAAGTGAACTACTCCTTTAACGTTGTTTTTTTATGTTTTTTTCTGCTGATCAGAACAGACCAGTTTCAATCACAATAACTAATGTAAAACATATTTTAAACACGATTTTTGATTTTCAAAAAAGGGTGTGAATGAATGATGCTGAAACATCTTTCTTAAACATCTGTCAGCCTTGGACTCATCCAAATCACAGCTATGTTTAGCACTTACTCCCATGCCTCCTTTTAAAAGTGTCTTTTAAATCAGCCCCGCTTCCTGGATTCAAGATTGAAACCATTTGTTTAAAAAAATGGATTGTTTACTTGCTCGGCTTTCACAGGAAAATCGTTGTGGGTCCATTTACAGGAAGAGTGGAGAAAACAGACTTGCGTCTAGACGTAATGTGTGCATTGCACGTTAATTTTGTTGCTTAATTTCTCAATTTACTACACCTTTGTTTCTACCCATATTTGCAATTGCAAATCAAACTCGTACGTCCTTGGCACCGACACGCTCTTCTGTGGCCTGGCATCCCAGTCCGTTCAGCTCCGTGATCGTCCTGTTCCCGCTGGTTTGGGAACTGCCCCTATATGACGTATCTGGAGTGATAGAATTGATAGAGCGAAAAGTTTGTGTACTCCTCCATTCATTTTGAGCCATTGCAGGGTGAACACATTTTTGAGCCCAGGCCAGGAACATAGTGTACTGCAGAGAGAGAGAGAGACAGAGAGCGCGTGTAGTGCACTGTTCGCTGGCAGGCTGCCCTCCAGGGTCAAGTTGATTCAAATAAAAGAGTGTGTAGGCTGTTTGGCGGGCTGGAATGCGCTTCGTGTCTCCACATGATAAGGAGGCAGCCGATTTTTTTTTTTTTTCCATGAGAAAACCAGTTTGTGACAATCCAGCCACACAAGCACACTCACACACACAAAACCCCTCCCATTCCCTCACATCTGCCTTTTACGACCTGTCATAAGGTAAATGACTCGTATATCACATATCATCAGGTCTCATGAAGGCCCTGGTCATATCTTCAGGTCTATCTTTGGAATTTATCTTCTCTGTCTTTGTCTATTGTTTGTTTGAGGGTGTGTGCTTCGTCAGGGCTGGATGTCCCTCGTCACATCTCTCAGATTGTCTTGTAGATTTTCCCATAATGCATGAATGAATTCTTTAATTTTCACAAAGGGCTGTAGAATTTGCTTGAGTCCACACCAGTTACACCTGACCCCTTCATGCGTTCTCTCTGATCGGATAGCTTTGATTTCCCAGAGCGTGGGAAAAATGCATATATATGTGTTCCTCTGAACTGTCTGTGGACATTTACTTACAAATAAATAAATACTGCTGTTCAAAAGTTCAGTATGGTTTTTATTGTTTTTAAAATAAGTATTTTCTGCTCACCAAGGCTGCATTTATTTGATTAAAAATATATTATGATAATTTAAATAACTGCTTTCTATAATTTATTCCTGTGATCAAAGCTGAATTTTTAACATCATTACTCCAGTCTTCAGTTTCACATGATCCTTCACAAATCACTCTAATATGCTGATGTGATCCTCGAAAACATTCATTATTATTATTAATGTTGAAAATGTTAATTAATAAAGGGATAGCTCACTTTGAAATTAATTTTTGATATGTTTTAATTAGCATACATAAGGGCATCCAAGATGTTTGCAGTATTTTCAGTTTTGATATTTTTAGGTCAAACCGTTCGTGTCTGTCAGTCATATAATGGAGGTCTATGGTCACCACCTCAAAGAGCATGCACAGAGAAGTCCAGATTAAACATGATTTAATGACTCGTAGATGTAAGTACACATTGATGGCCTAAGACACGAAACGAGCGGTTTGTGTGAGAAAACGAACAGTATTTATATCGTTTTTACCCATCCCTCCAAAAGTAATTCCCACTGTGACCCCAAACTTTTGAACGGCAGTCTCTACAATGTTACAAAAGCTTTCTGTTTCAGATAAATGCTGTTCTTTTGAACTTTATATGAATATACTGTTTAGGTTCAGTCTTTCTATGTATTATGGTCTCTAGTTCATCTTTGAATGTAAGTCTATGACATTTTATGCCTGTTTTGTCGCCGCTTTATTATTTATTAGAAGAAACCCTTAACCCTATGTATGAGCAATAATAATAACAGTGAATCTTTCCTTAGCAAACACCAGTGATTTTAGATTTAGTAACTAAAAGGCGAGTGTCGTACGTAGGACGAATGGGTAGGAGTTGCGTGTGGATTCAGAGTTCAGTGGCAGTACTTAGGAATAGTGATTGAAAGCCTTTTCCAGAGGCCAGAGGCTGAAATGAATGCCGTGCTGGATCGGCAGACGCTTCGGGCCCTTGGGAATTACCGCATGTGCAGCAGGATAGATTTAATGGGAGATCACTTAGTTCTTGTTGTGTTTTGCGTCCCACCTTTGCCCTTCTCTCTTATTTTCTTCCCTGGCATCCATGTGAAATGTGAATTTGAATGATGATTGTGTTGTACAAGGTACTGGTTTGTACATATTCAGATTTTTGGCTTTAGTTTTGGTGGCCCTCATCCATCTGTAATGACTTGTTTTTGTTCATGTTTAAGGCTCAACTTAATACTGTGTTGGCTTTCACATCCCAGCATGATGTTTTGTGTGTGTGTGTGAATAAGATTAAAAAGAAAACACAGGCTGCCATTTTGTAACACCTGTTTAGTCCATAATTTTCACTTTGACACCATGGCGGCAGCCTGTCAGGCGGCGTCATTCAGGTACCATAATTTGTGTAATTGTGAACCAAGAGTTTGATTGATGAGAGTTTGAAGAGATTGAACGCTAAGAGTTTTTGGAAACTTTCACAATATTATGTCAATGTTATTAAGGCTCGCAATCCTGAAATCAGTTCCTCTGTGTCTGTGGGTTTACTGCTGCGACTTTAATGTTCATTTTATTGTCAAACATTAAAGGGATAGTTCATCCAAAAATGAAAATGTTGTCATTATTTACTCACCGTCAAGGTTTTTCAAACCTGTATGAATGTTATATTATTCTTTTTCCATACTTTGGAGTTCAATGCACTCTCAGAAAAAAAGGTACAAAAGCTGTCACTGGGGCTGTACCTTTTCAAAAGGTAAACTTTTGTCCATTTTAGGTGTTAATATGTACATTTTTGGTGCTGATATGTACATTTTAGGTGCTAATAAGTACATTTTAGGTGTTAATATGTACATTTTAAGTGTTAATATGTACATTTTAAGTGTTAATATGTACATTTTAGGTGCTAATATGTGCATTTTAGGTGCTAATATGTACATTTTAGGTGCTAATATGTGCATTTTAGGTGCTGATATGCACGTTTTGATTTTAAGTGTTAATATGTACATTTCAGGAGCTAATATGTCCATTTTAGGTGCTAATATGTACATTTTAGGTGCTAATATGTACCACTAAGGTACCAATACGCAGCCTTTGGGTACAAAGGTGTACCTTTTGAAAAGGTGCAGCCTCAGTGACAGCTTTTGTACCTTTTTTTCTGAGAGTGTGGGGTCTCTCTGGTTGCCGACATTCTTCAAAATGTCTTCGTTTGTTTTCAGCAGAAGAAAGACATTCATACAGGTTTGGAACAACTTAACGGTGAGTAAATGATAAAACTATCCCTTTAAGGAAGATCTGTATGAGGCAGACGTCACATGTCTTCAAGTTCCAGGACTATTCAACCTTGAGCTATGATGCTCATGTGGATTGTGCAGGTTTCAATCTGACAATTGTTTATCATGTATCATATTCCATATCTCTCCCCAAATAATTTATTTTCTAATGAAAGGAAAGTATTAAAATGTCCTTTCATGCTTGTGATGGAGTGACTTTGGAGTAGTGTTAAGTATTACTATTTTTATAGTATTTATTCATGTTTTGAGCTAGGGTTTATATTATCAGTTTTCATATTATTAGTACTTTTTTTTTACATGCTTTTGTCATTTTAATTAAATAAAAGCATCTGTAAAATGACTGAAAACGACCTTCTCTGTTTTAGCCACCAGCTGAGATTTCAGACTACTCATCTTACGACGATAGTGATGAAGATCCAGAAGAAAGCAGAGCAGACTCTTTCCCTCTCGACCCAGCCGAAACCAGCAAGCAGTCGGTCAGCGAGTGGGTTCGATCCGCTCAGGCCATTCTTCGGACACCTCAGAAACAAATCACCAAGAGCGCCAAGACCCCAGAGGACTCGAGCAAAAAGAGGAGGAGATTTGAAAGGTATGATGTATGGTGCTTGGATCTTGATGTTCATTTCAGTGCAACCCTGTGCAAGATGAACTTAAATTATGAGTTCAGTGACTGGCTTTATGATTAGGATTTATCGCCTTAACTGAAAGTAATCCTTCACACTGCTATTCATTCTTACTGGGCTTTTTTCAATCCCCAATGTTTGACGTCAAGTTCACAACCCGAAAATTTATATCAGTGCAAACACACCGAATACAAAAGAGTTCAAAGTCTAGCAGAAGCCGTTTAATAATACATCCACACCCTTACCGTAAAAACCCGGTCAGTTTGGTTTTTGATTGGCTATCGAGGAGCGGTTTCTTTACACATTTGTATCACCTTATTTAATTTACCAGAACACTTCCTCCTACTCGCATAAGATCCGAATGCATAATACTTTGGCCCTTTTTTCTTCTATTACTCAGTAGTCGCTTTCTATATTGAGTGCTTCTGATGACATATTTACCATAAATGAGTCGTTTGTCCGATTTTATGAATGGGAAAGGAGGGACATGTAGAGTTTGTCCCCTCACGGGGGAGCTGTGTCTCTTGTTAGTCAATACATCCTTCTGCTGACCCTCAGTCCCTTCTGCGGTCAGGCACAGGATAAGTTCCCCCCTGCCATGTGTTAATTTGGCTTTTCATGTTTTATCATGTTTTCATATGACTACACATATAAAGATTTTAGCATGCATATTAACTAGCACCCACTTAGCATACATAGCATACATAAAAACTATAAAAAATGAACACATCATAAAGATATTGAAGCAAAGTGCAAGCAAGAATGGAGCTCATCCTTTAGTTTAAATTTAAGCCACGTTTTATGAAAGACAATGTTTTATAATTAATATGGATACATTTTCAGTGTGACATGTATATATAGATTTTCGTGAATATAGATTTGATTGGTTTTTCTCTATGATTTATTCTCCGTTTGATTCTGTTATGTTTTGATTCAGATTGATTTTAAATTGAGTTAATTCTATGGCATTGGTTCTAATTGATTCTCTATGACTTATGCTATGCGATTGATTCTAGTTGATTCATTCTCATTGATTCATTCTATAGAAATGATTCTTGTTCTTTCTTTATTATTAATTGTATTGATTGATATCATAGAATTATATCTAACTCATTCTCTAAATCTAAGTCTATGGGAATGAATCTTTAACATTCATTCTGCAGGATTCTTATTCCATGTGATTGATTTTATATGAATAATTCCAAGTGGCTGATTCTATGTGATACACCCTATGTTTGATTCTCCGTCTTTGATTCTATAGAATTGATTCAAGTTGATTCTCTTTATGGAATTGATTCAATGAGATTTATTCTAGTTTATTCTCTATGACTCATGCAATGTGATTGATTCTAGTTGATTCATTCTCATTAAATTAATTCTATAGAAATGATTCTCGTTCTTTCTTTATTATTAATTGTATTGATTGATATCATGGAATTATATCTTACTCATTCTCTAAATCCAAGTCTATGGGAATGAATCTTTAACGTTCATTCTGCAGGATTCTTATTCCATGTGATTGATTTTAAATGAATGATTTAATGTGACTGATTTTTATGTGATACAGTCTATGTTTGATTCTATATAATTGATTCAAGTTGATTCTCTTTATAAAATTGATTCATTGAGATTTATTCAAGTTTATTCTCTGCAACTCATTCTATGTGATTGATTCTAGTTGATTCATTCTCATTGATTAATTCTATAGAAATGATCCTCGTTCTTTAATATCTAAATCTAAGTCTATGGAAATTAATCTTTAACATTCATTCTGCAGGATTTTTTATAATCTTGAATATATGGTATTTGTTCTTATATGAATGATTCCATGTGGCTGATTCTATGTGATACAGTCTATGTTTGATTCTCCGTCTTTGATTCTATAGAATTGATTCAAGTTGATTCTCTTTATGGAATTGATTCAATGAGATTTTTTCTAGTTTAATAACTCATTCTATGTGATTGATTCTAGTTGATTCAGTCTGATTCATTATTTAAAACTATATGAATGATTCCCATTATTCTTTATCATTGATTAATTGATTCATATTCAAATGATTCTGTTTGACTGATTGCATGTGACACTGTGATTGGGACTGAATTCATGTGATCTCTCTCTTTATAGAGGAGGTCTTGCTGAAAGGCTCAACCGACTCCACAGCAGGCAAAGATCAGCCATCAGCTTCTGGAGACATCAGTGCAACTCAACCACATCAGCTGGTAAGACACATCCAGTCTGAATCATGTCTGTTTATGTCAAGTACAGATCATTAGAGGTTAGTTCTCTGTTGCTGACCACTAATGATAATATTATTAAAATTCTTTCACAATTTAAATGTAAATCTTCTAATTTAAATACTGCCATATCAGGCACCAGGAAAATATTTAACCACCAACCCGCAGTTTTCAAATTTCCACAATTGCTTGTAACACTTGATGAAATGTGTAGAATATTCCAGTGAAGAGATGTGTACAGTTGGAGGAGTAGGAGGCTGTAAAAACCTACGATTGTGATTCAGGTGACAACAGGACTTAATTGTCTCTCAGCCGAAGCGACAGGAAACCACAGACACAAACACAATGCAGACACAGTCACACACTTTACCTTTTCATTTTCCATGGTATAACGGATTTCTTTTCAAACAGTGCCCTACTAAGGGGTCTTCAGCATGTGAAGTTTGTGTGTGTGGAGGTTTAAAGAAGTTAACGTTCCAGTTGAAAGTGGAAATTCGAGAGATAACTTAAACGTGTGTGTATGTGATGCACTGAAACTGCAAAGTTGTTTAATAAATAGAATAATTCGTTGATTTACAGTTGTTATTCACCTACATTTTTTTATCGGAAATGTAGTGGGTTAATGATATTCTAGCATTGAATGTCTTTCCACGTTAACTGATTCATTGCATTGCATACTTGTGGATGTAAGCTGACTAAGATCATGACCTCTGAATTTAGTTCTCAAGCAATTTCCATTCACGTTTACTTGTGGAAAAAGGATTTAGGGTGACTGGACATAGTTTATGGGCAGCTTTGCAACTGGCATAATTCCTTCGAAAATTCCACAGCCTGAGGAACGCATCTCCCACTCATTTCTTGCTCATTGAAAGATTTATTATTATCTATTTTTTATGCACAACATATTAGCTGATAAATCACATATCAGTATGTGCATTTAACAACTTGTTCTTTTCCTTTTCCATAACTGTTTTTGGCACTGTTTGTGTTTACCCCCTGAAATAAGCCAGTCCTCCATGTATTTTTGTTTTGCATGTGATTGCGTGGAGTAAGCATAGCCTGTTTCTTTTGCTGCTTTAAATTTTTCGCTAAAATTTCCATTACACATCGTTCAGAAGTTCTTCTCTGAAGTCTTGGCTGTGCTTGCAATGATTTCAGCTGAGTCAATTGTGTTCATGTGTCCAGTCGAGGGGGCCAAGTTTTCCTTAAACAGTCAGCATGGGAATATATCCTGTCAGAGAGCTGGATTTTGTTTCATTTCCTCAGAACTGACTGAAATGAAAAAGTTGAGATCGCGCCAGTGTGAGTTTTCACAGCATAACCCAAAATATCCTGCTGCTGTTATTAATTTACTGGGCCTGTATCGTATCTGTGTTGTTTTGCAAAACTTAATGACTTTGAGAAGGAAACAGTCTTTCAGATGCTGGTCATTTAATAAAATGTAAAGCTTACTTATATCACGGTTCCCACGGGTCCTTGAAATCCTTGGAAAAAAAAAAAAAAGATTCAAGGCCCTGAAAAGTTTTGGAAAATAAACATGAATAGATACATGTCTTTGAAAGTGCTTGGAATTTATTTTGTGCAAGAAGTTTTCTGGAAAAAATTCTGTATTATTCCCTCCGGTCCACTAATATGTTATTTCGCCAACACTTTGTGGCCTATGAATACTAGCTTGCTTGATTTACGTTAGTTACACTTCGTTAAAGTAGTTCACTTTAAAAAAAACTTTTGCTGCTAATTTCCTCACCCCCATGTCATCCAAGATGTCCTTGTCTTTCTTTCTTCAGTCAAAAAGAAATTAAGGTTTTTGATGAAAACATTCCAGCATTTTCTCCATGTAATGGACTTCAATGGGAACCAAACGGTTCAAGGTCCAAATGAGAGATTCAGTGCTGCTTCAAAGGGCTTTAAACGACACCAGACGATGAATAAGGGTCGTATCAAGCGAAACGATCGGTTATTTAAAAAATAAATAAAAAAGTTTACGTTTTATAAGCACAAATGCTCGCCTTGCTCTGTTCTGTGATGAGCTTTCGTGACTCTCCTGTTCAAACTCGTTCATCAAAATGAACAAATCTTTTTTCGAGTCATGACTCTTAAGGTCCTTGATAAGACTCATTCATCGTCTGGTGTCGTTTAAAGCCCGTTGAAGCTGCACTGAAACTCTCATTTGGACCTTGAACCGTTTGGTTCCCATTGAAGTCCACTATATGGAGAAAATCCTGGAATTTTTTCATCAAAAACCTTAATTTCTTTTCGAATGAAGAAAGAAAGACATGGACATCTTGGATGACATGGGAGTGAGAAAATTATCAGCAAAAGTTTTTTTTAAAAGTCAACTACTCCTTCAAGCGTTTCCTTCGTCAGGTACTTAGTGTTGTACGTTGCCATGATGTTCACGAACACACGAAATTGAACTTGGAAAGTCATTGAAAGGTCCTTGAATTTGAAGTTAACTAAGGTGTGGGAACATGCTAATTGTTCATGTTGAATAGTACCTAACTGTATTTAAAAATATATTTATTGTTGTTAAGACAAAATAAACTATGTACAGATGTACAGTTTCATATATACATTTGTTTGACCCTAGGTGACAGGCCAGGTGTCCTAACGCTGAGGATTCTGGGAGTTCGAGAGGAATGTGGCATGCAGGCCACAGTGTGTGACAGGCTGCCGGAGGGGGAAAGGTGTGTGGCTCTTTTCAACAAAGCCACGGCCGCCGAGCTACAGCCTGTGCCTGGAGACATTGTCCACATCTACCCACCATGGTACGTTCTGTTCCTTAACATATCACAATAAAATATCAGAAATAGCATTCGTTTATTATCTCTGACAATGATAGTTGAGATTGTTATTGTTTTGTTCAAACAAGCTGAGGCAATTTATGGATTACTGACAAAATACACTTGATTTTGACAATCTGTATTTTTAACTTTTTGTTGTGCTTGCTCAAGCGTTTGAACAAACATTAACCATAATTATCAAACTGGTACATGTATGATACTTCAGTTTGTGAGGATTGTTGAAGAAAGGTGTACCATTTACTCTTGTGATTGGACTTTTAATTTTCAACCAGAAATCTATAAAATTGGCACAAAATACACTTTCAACTCCTAGTAACCACACAGAACACTTTTATTATAATCAATATAGTTGTATTAAACATATTTCTATTGAAGTCAAGTCACCTTTATTTATATAGCACTTTATGCAATATTGTTTCAAAGCAACTTTACTTTGATAACATGAAAAGGATGCGCACAAAGTTCATTTTTCAGTTCAGCTCTAAAAGAAAAGAGTGTCATTGCTTAGCTGAAGTCACTTCAGTGTTGATTCAGTTCCATTGTAAAGATCATCAATTATTAAATTAGTTAATTTCATCTATAAAGCAGATCTGTGAAAAACAGTGATGTCATCATCCAGCTCAGTTCTCATCCAATAGTGTCAGTGCAGTCAGATCAATAATATTGCTGAAAATTAAGTGTAACTAAGCAAGCCAGAGGCGACAGTATTCTGAGATACTTTGTTATTAAATTTGTTTGGTTTTCAAAGCTTCATTTCTAATTAATTTTCTGCTTTGTTTTGATTTTTTTTTCTTGACATTTCATCATAATTTCGTCTAGATTACTTGTATTACGTAGCATTGATGCACATTTCACTATATCTTCTGATGAATCACTGTTCGAGCATTAAGCCGCAAGTTGGCAGGAACGGTCTTGCCGTGTGCAGCCGTGTGTTTTGCACAGAGCTGATAAGAGCGAGAGGCCTGCGGGGCTGAAGGTGACAGAGACAGACGAGCCAGTCTCCATCTGTGTGGGAGGACCGCAGATCCACGGATCAGTCCAAACCAGAGAGAGGCCAGCACTCGCCGGAAGCCAGGGTCCCGCCCCTCTCTCTCTCTCCCCCGTATCGCCCCCATGTAGCGTAGCTCCCACGTCATTCCTCAGCTCCAGGGAATGGCCTGCATACCTCTTCCTGGCAGCTCTGAGCTCATTTCCAGCAAGCTGGGAAAAAACATTGCTGGATCCTTTTTCTTCCCTCGCCTTTTTCTTTCTCTGAGTTTTTTGCGAGGAGCGTTAGGCTGAGGATCACAATAACTGTGACAGAGGCCAGAGAGCTGAATGGAAAACACATGCGGCACAGTGTGCTGCTGGCTCCGTTTCTCCTCTTGTCTCATTTGCTCTCTTTTTTTTTTCTCTCCCCTGCGGAGTGTTTGCTTTTAGGGCAGGCATAGTTGACCCTGGAAAGTCCAAGAGTTCATTTTACCCTGGAAAGTCCAACAGATTGACTCCAAATCGGCCTCCATAGTTTGCAGAAAATGGGTGGCAGATGATAACGTTTTACGTATCGCCAAATGTATTTAAAAACCTGTGGATAGTTGATTAATGTAGACATGGAGTTTTTTATGTCAAATCGCATGAATGCAAGAACAATTTAAAGTCTTTTTTCAGTTCAGTGAAATAGTTGTGCAGTGTGACACAGGGTTGGGCAAAATTCCAAAAGTAAGAATTGACTTCCTTTCAATTCATTAGTTGGAATTTTAATTGATTTGACCACACCCCTCAGGAAGTTAAATTGGAATGAAATGATTCAGATTAGATGATTCAATCCAAAAGGCAATGGCATTAATTTGCATAAAAATGTTATATAATATAAAATTGTGACAACTTAAAAATTTCAAACAAGTTTATTCTGACAAGCCTTTTTAATTAAAAATCGTATTGCATTTTCTTGAGGAAACAAAATCTAATTTAATTATCTCAGAATTACGAGAGAATTTTTCATGGAAAAAAGTTTTTGCTCTGTTTTTCTGAGTTTTTGAGATAATCAAGTCATTAATTTAGAAAAATCAAGCAAAACAAAAAAATCCATGAAAAATAATCTCGTATTTCTGAGATAATTAACTCATTAATTCAGAAAAACAGAGTAGATTTTGTTTCCTCAAGTTAATGCAATACGCTTCCGTAAGTATCCATATCATTCCACAGTTAAATGAATTCAGATTCAATGATTCAATCCAAAAGGCAATGGCATTCATTTCCATAAAAATGTTATATAATCTAAAATTGTGACAAAACAAGTTTATTCTCACAAAACTTTTTAATTTAAAATGACTGTAAAGACCTGGTCACAATAAAAACAACAACTATAAAGATAACTATATTAGTATCCATATCAATGCATGATTATGTTCTGTTTATTATAAGTGCACACAGCAGTTTTGTCATCTACCACTTTAAATGCTCAAACTCTTAAAAAGGCCATTGAGAATTAAATCACACATGAACCTTGAGAGTTTTGTGCTTTTCGATTTCCCATCAATTTGATCATAGTTTAGATGATTTTCTGTCTATTGTGGTGGTGTAAGTGGTTCTCAACTGGTTTTACTTCAGGATTTAACATTGGTTATAAAGAGGAAACCAAACCCAGTGCCAATATAGTACATCGTACAAAGTAAACAAGAATGTCCTTAAAATCAAATGTCCTTTTTAACCTGTCCAAATGACAGGGGAATTTCCACAAAAAACAATGCTGCTAACAATGACAACAAAAGATATGTGAAGCATTTTCTTCTCCAAACTGATAACCCCATTGTTATTATATTATATTATTATATTATAACCTCTATTTGGCTCCCCTAACTCTGCATATATAGTTAAGTCTCAGTTTATATTTGCATTTACCACCATTTAAGGACTAACGTCTTAGATTTGACATAAATCACAAATTGAAAATCCAAAGCAGTTTGGTTAATTATGTACTGGTGTATTGGTGTATTTCTGATGACCAATTCCATCACACACAAGAACACACACACACTGTTCCCAGCTCATTCATGGTTCAGTTATGAAGGAAATACCTGTCATCACTAGGCTGTGATTACACCTGTGCCACACCCTCACCTGTGTGTGTCAGCTCTGACGTCAGCACACTCTTAAGTTTGTACATAACTTCCTTCTCCCATCCACCGGAAATACATTCATACGTCTATCTCGATCGTCACGTGACACTATGTGCGGTGAGATTAACAAATCTCTCTTAAGACTTTGTTTCCTGTGCAACTGATCTCTAAGACTTTGCATTGTATTTTTATTTGTATGTCATCTATGAGAAAGGACATTTCTTCATTTGTTAGGAAGAAATTACATTTATGTTGGGAGCACTTATTTATCTATTGAAAATATTCAATAATAATTTAATATATGATTTTTTTAATTAATATTTATTTACAATCTAGAATAATAAAGTCATCAAAACTAATGGAAGCATAAAGTATGTACCAAAAAATATCAAAAAAAAAATCTTGTGTGTGTGTGTGTGTGTGTGTGGCTGCGACCGTTCACTGGAGATGAGAAAATACACAATACTTCATTAAATGTTGATTATAAATGATAATATTAAAAATATTTGATTAGTTATTAGTTATTCCACATTGTAAAAATCGTTTCTCGTTTGTAGATTTAATGACCAACAAGGTCATTTTGTTGGTTTTTTTTTTTTTGTGATGACATTTTTTTATTTACCCGTCACTCTTGGATTGTCAAAGACTGGAATTTTCTGTCCTATTCTTCTTAGGCTGACAGCATGTTGAAAAACCGCCTGTTTGCATTAGGGTGGAGAGGACCCCCCCCCCCCCCCTCTCCTGTGTAAACTTGTCTTTGCTGGATGCCCTGGAGGTTCATGAGGTTCACTGAGATTACTTGCCTCTGCTGGCACCTGTTCAATTCTCTCTCAGGGCAGGATGATTTAAATGCTGACGTACATACTACGTCTCATGACATGAGCTGTGCGGGCCCCGGCTTGTAGTGGAGTGGAGGTCTCCGCTTATTGAAGACACGTTTGTTTGGAACCGATCTGTGACAAATTACCATACATCCAGTGCAAAGATTGATCAGGCTGTTTGTAACCTACTTCTGAGGCCCTGCGAATGGTACATGTGTGATGACGGGTATTTTCTATATGCTTACCAACAAAAGTGTGTGTATAATTTGCAGGCTTTTGTCCCCATGTGCTTCGTATCTAAAACTAGTTGTAAACACTTTCCTGTACATGTTCCAGTGACTCCTCTGATCTCACTTCTTTCCATAATAACGAAACTTCTCATAGGTCGTTGTAAGGCTGCATGATTAATCAAAATGAAACAGAAAATCGCAATATGATTTGATGTGATATAACAATAACATGTGCCAACTATCTTCCCATACTTTGAATGAGAAGTACTTTTTAAAGAGAAGCTTTAAAGGCTTCATGCAGCTTTCCTTCAAAATAAAACTTGAAGAAATTCATTTAAAAAAGAAGAAATTTAGACATTTAGACAGTAAAAAATTATGATATTATTTTTCTTAAACCCCTTAGCTGTCACCCAACTTTTTGAGAATGGGGGTTAAAATGCATTATTCAAACTTAAATAGTTGTAATTCAGGAAGGATTTGGAATATATACCCAATTTTGGTCTTGTTTGAAAGAAAACATTATTGCTGAAGTGAAAACAAATGAAAGTATGAAAAAGTTATGGAAGTTTAAATTTATAGTAAATCAAATATACTATACTATGTATTTTTTATTTGATATAAAATACATATTTTACAAAATATTTATTGAGATTGAGATTTAAGATTTTTTGAGGTGCACTCTTGTCATACATTTATCAGTTACTCTTCCTACATAATTCTGAACACAAAACAGGGGTAGAATATTTATTTAGAAGTCTTAGACCTTTCCAATGATATATAATTTGTCATAATTAGATTAGGATTTATTTGAAATATATAGTGAAGTAAATTTAGGTGGGACGGTGACAGTTATGGGGCTACATGATTGATTTACCCGGGATCTTTGCCAGGACTGTGTTTTTCGAAAGCATTGTAATGTCCCGTTCACACCTAGGATGATAACTTGATAACAATTAAGATGTAGGTCTCAAAATCATTCTAAATGAAAAACAATAGCAGTCAGTCCACACCACAACTATAACAAGAATGTCATAGAGAAACAATATTGTTGGAATCGCTTTCAGAATGATTTTTTTTCCAGGTGTTGAGAAATAAAAACATTGACAACCAATCAGAATGCACATGACTCAAACAAGAGCTAAAACGTTTCAAGCGGCAGAGTGATATTGTCTACTTGTGTGGTCGCTAATATAGTGTACATTTACATTTATTCATTTAGCTGACGCTTTTATCCAAAGCGACTTATTATGTCAGAGGTCGCACGCCTCTGGAGCAACTAGGGGTTCAGTGTCTTGCTCAGGGACACATTGGTGTCTCACAGTGGATTCGAACCTGGGTCTCTCACACCAAAGGCATGTGTCTTATCCACTGCGCCATCACCACCCCTATAGTTGTCTTTATAGGTTGAACAGGCCTTAAGCCTTAAAGGAACACTCCGACTTTTTGGGACTTTAGCCTATTCACCTTACCCCCCAGAGTTAGATAAGTCCATACATACCTTTTTCATCTCCGTGCGTGCTATAAGTCTGTTTGACGCACCCACCGCTAGCCTAGCTTAGCACAAAGACTGGATGTGAATGGTTGCAGCTTTCATACTAATCCAAATGAGTGACAAAATAACGCGAACGTTTTCCTATTTACATGTTGTGGTTTGTATAGTCACAGAGTGTGCAAATATCAAGGCCATATGAGACACACAGACATCTTTTAACCGTATAAATAATTCTGAAGGCGAAGCACTGCTACTTGGGCAGAGTGATAACCATCACCTGAGACGCACCGTGACGAAGAGCAGAGAGTACGCTTCGCTCAGTGTTTGGGTAACAGAGTCAGCAATTACTAACGTTAGATAGAAAAGCATAGTTTATCATGGGTGTTTGCTTTATTGTATGAGCTGTGACAATAAACAGGGGAGACCAGGTACCATGTTTCATTGATTTCCAAACAAAAACGCACCCAGATTTATAAATATCACATGAATAAATAATTATTATTACAGGAATCAATATATTTTAAATGCAATTTATTAGCTGAACCAAATGTATTCAACAGTATATAATATACAGTATAATTGCATTACTATAGGATAGAATACGGGGAAAGTAATAGCACAAATTGTTTTTGCACAATGAACTCACAGCCTATCGTACTTTGCACGCTCAAGTTCGTTATTTCCATGGTTATTTCAAATTTAGGCTACTAGGCGCGCCGCGCGCAGGGTGCAAGTTCAACGCGGTGAACGCGCTCGTTTTTTTTCCAAGCACGTCCGCGCTGCATCAAGATAAAAACATATTCATACCCTAATCATATAATAGTGTCACTAACGTTACATTAGCTCTGGCTAATAGCACTGTTACAGTAGGTCATCTAAAAACATAACGGAACACTTACCTCAGCCGCAGGTGATCCACTTGTCCTGTCTGTGCTATCGATGGGATGGCCGTATCCTTCAGCACATTATGGTCCGTGTGGCAAATTCCATTTTTTCAAAATAGTCGTCCATTGAAATGTACCGAGCAAACATAATGTCCCTTGATAATCTATTTAGGTGTGTTTAGATAAATATCCAGAGTAAGTTAGCCATTTCTTCATCCAGTCAGCGTTTTTAGTTGGAATTCTGTGAAACATGGTTACCTCCCCTGTTTACAGTCGCAGCTATTTACAATAGAGCGAAAACCCATGACTCTAAACTACGCTTTTACTATTTATAAATTGCTGACTCTATTACCCAACACCGAGCGAACTCTCCGCTCCTCCACGGCGTGTCTCAGGTGATGCGGTTATTACTCCGTCAAAGTAGCAGTGCTTCGCCTTCAGAGAATAGTTCCCAGGTTTTATACGGTTAAAAGATGTCTGTGTCTCATTTGACTTTGTTATTTGTACATTATGTGACTATACAAACCACAACATGTAAATAGGAAAACGTTCGCGTTATTTTGTCACTCATTTGGATTAGTATGAAAGCTGCAACCATTCACATCCAGTCTTTGTGCTAAGCTAGGCTAGCGGTGGGTGCGTCAAACAGACTTATAGCACGCACGGAGATGAAAAAGGTATGTATGGACTTATCTAACTCTGGGGGGTAAGGTGAATAGGCTAAAGTCCCAAAAAGTCGGAGTGTTCCTTTAAGTAGATCATAGAACCGATGGTCTCAACTTCACTCATGATGTGTTTGAGAAACACAGCCTAGGTAACTTTTAACCATCAGCATAAAGTCTGGCCCACTTTGCCGCTCATTTTTATCCATTTGAAAAGACAAGATGAATAGTGCTACAGAACGAGCCACTGTCTTTAATGAAGAATCATAGCATATCACCTCTTTCTTTTAGCAAACTACATCTTGGTACCAAAGAGCACAGCGTGTTTTGCGGTTGATCTGTTAGATGCCGAGTACAAAGAGCTCATGTCGACTTAAAATCAGCATTTTCAGACTGCCTGTGAAATGGAAAAGAGCATCTTTGTTGATCAGTCAGTCACTCTTTATCACCAACAGTCAGTTTCCACCCAGGGAGGGACGGGGTTGAGCTTTTGTGTGTACTTGAGCATAATTTGAGACTCTTTTATGTGTGTGAGAAGTGTGGAGGTGGTTTTGCTCAGTGAGTCCGCTGTCAATCAATGTAGTTGAGTTTTGTGAAAATGTGGCAAAGCGTCCATAGACGTATTCACTTGACGTCACCTTGGGGTGGTAAGCATGCGTCAAAACCGCCGCCATCTTGGAACAGGGTCTTGTCATTGGTAAAGCTGCGATCTTTCCCTAATTAATGGATGGCGGAGGACTTTTGTGCTGCGTATGATGTTCACAAATTAAATCTGAACTAGGAAGAATGGTTTAAAAACCATTTTTTCTGGAATCAATGATAAATACATGTCTGACCGTTTTGAACGAACCAAAAAAAACGAATTTATGGTGATTTTATTTCCGTTTGACCTTTGTCTGCATTGATGCTGATGCATTAAAATAGAGGAGCTCCCCTGTTCCAAGATGGCGGCTCTATTGACGCATTCGTTCTAATGAACCGTCATAGCCAAGGCGACATCTAGTGTATATATCTATGTAAAGCGTCAAGCTGTATTACGAATGATGTTTTCATACTGTAAGTAATTTTCAAAAACCAGCAGAACTCCCATTTTTGTCTCCCTCCAGGCAGAATCTGGTTGTGGAAGGGGAACACTATCCCATAATTCTCAACACCCACTTCAGTCAGAAAGTCTGCGTGGAGAATAAGCAGGATAGCGCAGACGGGCCGAGAGACGCAGTCGCCGTGGAGAAATGCAGACCTCCGCCGTTAACCACGTGTCTGTGGCGGTCAGGGACAAGCCAAGTGTCAACAGAGACATCCATTCCCTGTAAACAGGTTCGTCAGCTGTTCCCTCTCATGTGATCACGGGATGAAAATTCCCAGAAATTCCCAGAAAGGGCACCGTCTAAAATTTCGAATTCGGTGTGAAAGTACTGGCGGCCTGTTGGAATGGAGACAGCTGCCGTTTCCTGTGTGACACTGTGTGCGAATGATTAATGAGGGGTGTTTTTATGCATGAATATTTGCTTAAGTGTGAAAATAAAACTACGTTTCCCTGTATGACAAGACCCTGGTGTAAACAAAATCATGATGTAATGTATACGATTTAAAAGCAAAGTGCAGTGTTGTCTATACAAAGTTTATGTTGGTTGTAAACACACCACAGGTTTAAATGGTCAGCGGGATCCAGTGTTGTTTGATTCCCAGCATTCTTTAAAATATATTAAATATTATAATTTTTCGGTGGAGAATGAATTTAAATGTGCATTATCATACTGTCATCAACACTTAGATACTATTCAAAAGGTCAGTAAGATATTTGAATGTTTTTGCCAAAAATCGCTAATGCTCACCAAGGCTGCATTTATTTGACAAAAATAAAGTAAAAACTGTAATTGTTTAATATTATTTCAATTTAAAAAATATATATATTATTTTAAAACATAATTTAACATGATCCTTCAGAAAGCATTCTAATATGATGATTTGCTTCTCAAGAAACATCAATATTGAACTGTTGTGCTGTGTAATATTTTTGTAGTAATTTTTTTTTCAGAATTCTTGGATAAACAGATTGTTCAAAAGTACAGCATTTTGTAACAATATAAATCATTTTTGATCAATTGAATACATCTTTGCTGAATAAAAGTAATTTAAAAAAAAAAATCTTAATTAAGTTTTTGAACTGTGTTTTTTTTTTTTTTTTTTACATTTAAATTCCGCTAGTTATTGTTGTGATGTTGTGGTTAAGGCCTAGATTTGGTAACCTAAAGTGTGCTGTTTTGATCTGTAAGTTTGGTGTGGTCCTTCAAAGGCCATCAGTGTTGAGAGCAAGACACTTGACCCCAGAGCGCTCGTGCTCGCAGTGACAAAGAGACCGGAAATCTTTCATTTTCAGTGGTTTGAGGTGGTTTGTCCATTGTGCTGGCTGTAGTGATATTACGTGAAAGTCGTGAAATTTTGACTGGTGTGGTTTGAAAAAAAGTTTTATGATAAACTTTTCCAATTTATCCATCCTCAGGTCGGCGAGTTGAACAGAAGTGAAATTCGGAAGTCTCTACTGGACGCAGTGGAGGATTGTGGGTCGTCAGGCTCTCAGAGCGGTCCTGTTGAGGTGGTCGTTCAGAGGGTCTACTGCATCCCCATCACCCAATCCCTTCACAGAGCTTCTCTCCAGCACAGACCAGCAGAACCAGTGCCACCGCAGCACATCGGCAGGTACTGGACCTCTGGGTTTCAGTTGCTCTCGTTTTTTGATAGCAAAAAGGGGGAGGGGGGGATTAAAAAAGTCCCGCACAATCTTCCATCTTGGACATTTTTATAACCAAAAGTTATTTTTTGTCATTTTTATAACCAAAACTCATTTTCAGACCTTCTAAATGCTTGAAGAAATGGGTGTTATTTGATAAATATACTTAAAAAATAAATAAGTATCAAATATATCAAAAGTTTGGGGTTGGTAAGATTTTTTTTATGTTTCTGAAAAAAGTCTGTCATGCTCACCAAGCTGCATTTATTTTATCAATTGTATTTTTTTTTTTTTATGTAATTTATTCCTGTGATGCAAAGCTGATTTTCAGCATCATTACTCCAGTCTTCAGTGTCACATGATCCTTCAGAAATCACTCTAATGTTAAAAAACATTTGTGCTGCTCCATATTTGGTCCCACTTTATATTAAGTGGCTTTTAGTACTATGTACTTACATTGAAATTAATAATTTGATACAATGGACTTATTGTGTACATACATGTTCTTACATTTTAAAATTCCAGCATGTAATTACAGCTATAATTAATTTATGTAACTACATTTGTAATTACACAGTTGACCCTCCCCTCACACCTTAACTACCCTTAAACCGACCCATACCACCACACCTGTCCCTAACCTTACCCGTATCACACCTCAATAGCAGCAAAAGTGTTTTACAATACAACAGGAACACAATAATACATTGTACTTAAAGCCACTTAATATAAAGTGGGACCAAAAAAAAAATCTTACTGACCCCAACTTTTTGAATGTTGGTGTATACGTGCATACAGATAAATATTGTGCATGACATTTTACTGTTAAAGATTTATTCAAACAGCAAAAAGAGAATTGACATAAATATTTTTTAATTTTCTTTCTTTTTTCCTTTTACGCTTCTGCTTTGCTATTGTTAAAAGCAATAACAAACGATTTGGTTTTATGCACAGTTTGGAGCCGTTAGCAGCACATAGGCTTGAGATCTATGTAAGTAAATACGACGTGCAGTTTATCAGCAACTCTCCTTCCCCAGTAACCAGCCAAACCAGTTTAGCAAACCAGTTACATTTCAAAACATTTGCTTCGAATAAAATGTATTTGAATTGATTGGGAATGTGCTTGGGGATATAATAAAATACATGAATTGATATTACTAGTTCAAATCACACAGCATGAATATCAGTAGATCTTGTATGCGTCTGTAAAATGATCTGTATGTGTATAGTAGTTTTAGGAGATATCTCTTGAATGCGATACGTCGTCAGATTGTGTGTTTGTTCTGTGTGGACGTGCACTCTGTGTTCCAGTGTGGTATAATTAGGCCATTGTCTGTTCTAAACTCCACTGCTGAAGCTCCAAGAGGTCAATCTCCTCATGGAGTGATAAATGGTAAGAGAGAGCAACTTTGCTCCATATTCTGTCAATGACTAACCAAACAACCCCTCCCAGTACATAGAGTACTCTCTCTCTCTCTCTCTCTCTCTCTCTTTCTCCCTCTCTCTGCCTCACACAGTTCTTTGTACCACATGGTAAAACTCTACAAACATCTCTAATTAAGCCCAGCAATGTCAGTGATCCATAGCCAGATCTAGAAAAAAAAAGGAAAATAAAGGACTGGAAAGTGAGAATTTGCCTTGCAAGGGGAAAAAAACTACGACTGAAAAAAACAATTTGCCTGCGCAAATCTCCATGAATGGTTGCCAGGGTGTTGCTATGTAGTTGCTATAGAGTGCAACAGTTCCCGCCCACTTTTTCTGCGGCGCTGGTTCCGGAAGTTTTTTATATATTCATTTTTCCCATAGTGATTTTTCAAAATTCTTCATTAAAGCGTTATGAGCCATGAACCAAGCAAATCAGCTACGAGGTGAATCACAGCATTACAAACTTTTGAAGCAAAAAAGTTTTTGAAAATCGTACAAGATGGCGTACTTAGCGGCTTTAGTAAGGGAAAGAACTACAATCCCATGAAGCATTGCGAACAGCATAATATATACAAACATTTAAGTATTTTAAGAGTGTAGAGAGATCGACTTGTTTACATCCTTCACAGTGCTTCATGTGCAGAGCCTAAGTGCTATTTTCACTGTACAGCATCATGGGTAATGTAGTTTTTCACCAGGAATTCCACTGTTAAACAATCATTTTAAAAATAAGGTGAAATAATGTGGGGTAACGGCTTCAGCAAAAGCAAATACCATGGATTTACAACATTGCTCACAGTAGGTCTTTCTTTAAAGCTTTATAGACCATTTTGCAAGATGTAAACAACACTGGTCCAGAAACACTTCCTGTTTCAGTTTGTAACTGTTTTCTTTATTTCACATGTAAAGAAAACATCTTAAAGATGTTTGTTTAACTTTTTGATTCATTTTTATATGTTCTGTTGGTTGTATTTTATCCCAGCTTATATGTAGTGTTAAAAAACTGAAACAGGAAGTGCTTCTGGACCAGTGTTGTTTAACATCTTGCAAAATGGTCTATAAGTTATCATTCAGAATCAATGTCCTTATGGAGTTTTTACTTTTGGAACCTGACTTTTGCACTCCTATAGTCTTCTGAATTTTTTTTGTAGCACGTTGCTGTAAAGTTGCATGTCTATTTGACCTTTATTACAACTACGATCACATCTGCGTCGGCGCTGCTGCTGATCCAGAGAGAGCAGCTGTCATGTATGAAACGGCTTCACAAACACCGTATCATTATTTCTGTGGTACAATAGTTCTAATTATCACAGAAGTTCTGGAAAAAAAGTTTATAGTTCAGAATCGGATATAATCATTGATGTCTACTATATATATAAATAAGTGTTGTATCAATTACATTGTTACACCAGTAGGTGGCGACAAGTGACAAGTATTAAATGTATTTGTCATTGAATCATTCATTCAAGAGATTCGTTCAAAAGCATTGATTCATCCCGTAATGAAACGAGTATTTATCAAGGGGGTAATCCATCAGCCGGAAGTTGTAGCCTCGCGCGAGCCGCCATTGTAGCTGTTAGCAACCCATTGACTGCCATTCATTTTGGTGTCACTTTGACAGCGAATAACTTTACATCTGAGGCGTCCAAAGACTCCATTTGTCCATTATTTATTTCTAAAGAAACACGATAATGTATAAAATGCTCCATTTCTTTATATCTTACGTTACAGCCCCGTAGAAACCGTTTTTCTAAAAATCAAGCTCAGTTTGAGCCTGCGCAGTCGCTCAGACATCAGGCAGGAAGTGCAATAGACGGGCTTCAGTCTTCCCCGTTGAAATCAATGGGGTCACTGTGTCCATTTCTTTTACTGTCTTTTATGAGTGAGTTGTTGAATCATTCATTCAAACATTTTTTTTTTTAAATTTAAATTTTTTTTTTATAAATCATTCAGAATAATAAAAGATTTTTTAAAAAGGCTGCAACAATTTCGTCAGAATCTCTAGTACATTATTTTTTTTGGTTTTGGTTGTCTGTTCAGAATTGTGGGAGAATCACAATCTATTCAAGAAAAAAAAAGTGATTTCTCAATTTATCCAGAATCCTGCAGCTCTAGCCGTTGCTAAGGTGTTCTGAGCGCCTTTTTGCATGTTGCCTTAGTTGAGCTGTTTTTAAGTATGTTGCTAAGTAGATGCGAACATGTTCAGAGTGGGTTTTGCACATTGCTGTGCAGTTGCTTAGGTTGTATGACTTCATAGTGTTCTGAGATTTGTAGCGTGTTGTCATACAGTTGTAATGAGCACACTCTGATCTCTGCCCTGCTCCAAGACACATTAATTTGTTGTCAGAAATGCACGTGGTGCTGTGTTGATGTAGGATGATTGGAAATAAAGAGTCATTTGACTGTCGGTAACTGGATCCCCGTTAGACACTGCTGCTGCATGCCGTAAACACTGAAACACAGGAAGACGAGACACTGTGGTCTGGAGTGTGTGTTGACGGGGAAACCCTGACTGGGCCAAACCTGGAAAAGATGAAGCAAACACATATAATGCACAGAATCAGACCCAGCACATGACCGCTGCCATTGATTAGCAACCTCACATGCTCATAAATTCTCTTCCTTTGGACAGGCCTCATGATCTCAGAGAATTAAAGGAGGTGTTTACATTCCTTTTTAAAACCGTTAGACCAATATTGTGTTTTTTATGAGCAAAGGTCTCCATTAAATGACGTCTTTTGAATGTCTGCCAGTTTTTTAATAAGTATAATGAATAATCATTAAACAGAAAAAAACATACATTTATTATTGTCGTTTTTGCTAAATAATAATAATTACTTTCTATAAATATTATTTATATTCACATAATGAATATGTTGGCATTATTTATCAAAGGTCTTCCATAAATGACGTCTTTTGAATGTATGCCAGTTTTTTAACAAGTATAATAAATAATCATTAAACAGAAAAAAACATACATTTATTATTGTCGTTTTTGCTAAATAATAATAACTACTTTCTATAAATATTATTTGTATTCATATAATGAATATGTTGCCATTATTTATTATTAATGTTTTAATTTATTATTTCTGTTTTTAGTTTTATTTAACAAAATAACAGCACTTGCAAAATGGACGTATTATTCCTTATTTTCAAGCTGTCTTGGTTCTGTTTATAATTTCACTACACACAGGCTTAAAATCAGATTATAAGCATATGTTTGAAAGCCATTTTCCCTGTTTATACCCTTTAGCACACAGCAGAGATGTTGACAATATCTGTTTTGTACACATGTGTGGCGTGCTTCAACAAGGCCACCCATCTCATTACAACTGTTAGTTTGCAGTTACGTTGCAGTTTCTCTCTCTCTCTCTTTAATTTTTTTTGTATACATTTTCTTTCCCCTCCTCCTCCTCCTCGTTTTTGTGGCCAGTTTCCAGACAATAATTAGCGTTTAACTTTTGGTCCAAGAAGATATGTTGTTCCAGTAAAAACTCAGAGCAGTATAAACAGGCTGAAGAAGTTCTCTTTGCTCAGACAGGAGGGGTTGGATGTTTTCAAGAAGAAGTGGAACACAATGTGCTTTACGTGTCAGATTACAGACCTGTTTATCAAAAGCTCTGCTCCCATTGGCCGGCACCGTGTCGGAAGTAATCCCTCCCACTGTGCCTTAACCAATCAGCTGCCAGAGAAGTTTTTGTGCATGTGTGAAGGAAATGGAGGGGTAGTGTGGTACCTACATCGAGCAGGCTTGTGTGTGTGTGTGTGTGTGTATGTGTTTGTGCTCCGCTTGTGTGAGTGTTTGGACAAGCTCAATGGATCGCAATTCCTGGAAGCGCCTCCAAGTTGCTGCGAATTCCTGCGAACGCTCACAATAACAGATTCCTGAAAGTGGCTAGTGACTGCAGCTGACCAATGACAGAAACCCGGTGAGGACATCAGCCCTCTGTCCTGCTCCGTTAAGAGGAAGCGCCTCAAACGGACCAAAAGGGAATAAAGAAGGGGGTTGTTTATATCAACCTGGCCATATACCACAAAGTGCTACTGCCCAGTCACCCCTCCTGTTCTCTGGTTTCATAGACACACGGGTCTAAACAAGCCTCAGTGTTCACAACCACACTTATTTAACGCCGTGTTCTTTAGCAGCGCTACAACAGGGTAACCACAGTTCAGGATGATTCCCGAATCCCGATCTGCCAGTCATGGTTCATCAAAGGTCATCTCACATCGCACCAACATCATTAGCTTTAACTGTCAAATTATTCGCGCGATACAGTCTTTTAATCTATTTTGAAAGCAGATTTGCTTTTGGACATTTATTAGTGAAACATGGAGCAACTTATTTTATCCTGATCTGGCCCGGTGTCTTGTAAAGACAAAGGGCTTTTTGAGAGTTTTTTTTGGACAGCATAAGTATTAAGTGATTGTCATAAAAGTGAAACTGACCCAATCGAGAAGAAATTCGAAACCAACTGAATTCAAATAAAAAGAAGCTTGAGAGAATCTAGTTTTCTGTGAATCAACACACAACTCAACTTCAATGTTGCCTTTTGTAATGTTATACAGCAAAGGTTGAGATAAATAGTTGAAAAAATAGGCAGAAATCACAGTTCAGTATGCAGATATTGTAATTATATCAGTTAGATTTCATATAGATGTATAATAATAATAAAAAGTTTAATTAAAGGGGTTATCGGTTTTGGTGTGAACAGACTTTAATTGATCTAGTTTATATAAAATGTTAAATAAAAATTAATCATGAAAATCATACTTTTCGAGACTTGTGAAGCGTCCTTGAGCTTGGGAAAGGCGCTATATTAAATGGATAGTTCACCCCAAAATGAAACTCCTGTCAGTATTTACTCACCCTCATGCTGTTCCAACCCCGTAAGACCTTTGTTCATCTTCGGAACAGGAATTAAGATATTTTTGATGAAATCTGAGAGCTGGATCACTCCTCCATACTAGTCCATAGGCTTCTTAAGGGATTGAAACTTGCAGGCCTCGAAAAGTAATTAAAGACATCGTTAAAATGGTCCAAGTGACTACAGTGGCTCAATCTTAAATTTATCAAGCGACAAGAACACTATTGTGCGCAAAAATAACGACTTTATTTCAACTATTCATCAGCCCTCAAGTCAGGTTACAAGTTTAACAGAGTAGGATCTGTTGTTGTACGTCACACGCATCACACACATGACCAGCGTCGGCCAATAGTGAGCCTACTTGTGACGTTTAACTGACTACAGGCGCAAAGAAAAGGAAATAAATAGTTGATATTTTTGTGTTTTTTTGCGCACAAGTGTTCTCATCACTTGATAAAGTTAAGATTGAGCCACTGTAGTCACTCCGACTATTTTAACGATGTCTTTAATAATTTTTCAAGGCTGGCAAGTTTCAATCCCTCAAGAAGCCTATGGACTAGTATGGAGGAGTGATCCAGCTCTCAGATTTCATCAAAAATTTAATATAGCGCCTTTCCCGGGCTCAAGGACGCTTCACAAGTGTCAAAGTATGATTTTCTTGATTAATTTTTATTTAACATTTTATATAATCTAGATCGATTTAAGTCTGTTCACACCAAAACCGATAACTGTATTAGTGTCCACCCCAGCAGACCGTAACGCTGCAGTTTTGTCGTCTGTCGCTTTAAATGCTTGAGCTCTTTTTTTAAAACTATGTTTTATCGTTTATCAGCTGTGGGAAAATTCGTTCTGAAAGTGATTCCAACGATATCGTTTCTCTGTTCCATTATTGTTATAGGTGTGCTGTGGACTGACTTTGCTTTTCTTTAATATTTAGAACGATTTTTAGAACAATATCTTTACCGTTATTGTTATCATCCTTGGTGTAAACGGGTTCTTTAGTGTTGGTTGTGCAATCTTTTAGTTTCCCAAAAACATGAATACTTCCAAAAGGTGTTTTTTTCTTGTCTTACCCTAATTCACTATGGTAAGCCTATTGTAAGTGTTTATATTTTAGATGTGGCGGGATATTGCATACATGCGGCAGCGTCACACACCCGTGTGCGTCTCGTCATATACGTGAAGGTGGCGTTTTCTATTACTCAACCGGTGAGTAAGGTATTTTATTGAACCGATTGCCATATGGCATATACATATGCCATATGTATTATACATATGCCATATGTATTCATCTGCAGTCACGCAGAGCCGAAGCACAACCAAAACAAATGTTCTTACGCATAATATGCAGTTTTTCTTGTTTTGTTTTGTTTTTTAAGCCAGAAGTTACATTTTGTACCTTTTAAATGATTGAAATATTAACCTAAAATCTCAGGGAGTACTTGAAGGAAATATTTTAGGTCATATATGCCATATGTATTCATCCGCACAGTCACGCAGAGCTTAAGCACAACCAAAACAATGTTCTTACGCAAAATACGCACAGTTTTTTGGGTTTTTTTAAGCCAAAAGATACATTTTGTACCTTTTAAATTATCGAAATATTAACCTAAAACCTAAAAAGGGAATACTTGAAGTAAATATTTTTATGTCATGGTTTCCAAAAAGTTTGTTCTAAACTGAACAATGTTTGTTAGCGGTCTTTCAGCTGAATTAGTTGCAGAAAATGTGTAGAAGAAAAATAGTAAATGTAGATTATTTTAAGGAGCTGCCTTGCAAGCAGTTTTTCAGCTAAACACGTCTTCAGCTAAATCAGTGTGAAGAATGTACGAATCAACTGTGTTTATTTTTTATTCCACTATAGTTATCTCTACTGTGCAATCAAATCACTGTCTAGCATGTGAAAATATATTTAAATACCAGCCTGTTTGTTTAGTCCCGTGGTTTACTGGCTCCAAAAAAGTGGCCAGTCTCTGTGAAGTGACTATCTGTAGAGACTATTAATACCTGCAAAAATATCATTTTGAGTATAGAAACACCGCCATGTGACCGCTACGAGTCAGGCCATAGATCAAGTTATTAGTTCGTCCCTGTCTGGTGCCAAAGTCAACATTTAATCTGTAGACGATATCTGTATCTATGTGAGTGTTTGTTGTTGGGATGAAGCTTCAGAGACTCTCATTTGCAGGTCTTCATTTTGTGCAGTTTACTTATGAGTACAGTTTGTCATTTGTCCAAATAAACTCAAATGCCTGCTGGAGTTTTACCTTCAGTAAAAAAAAAAAAACCTTTCTCAACCACTGTCTTTCTTGGCATTTTAATATCAGTTTAGCATGCTTTATTATTGGCATAACAAAAAGACTAAACATTTGCAATGCAAAATCAAGGAGAAATTGGTCAAAATAAGTCAAATAACAACAGTGCAAATAGAGTGAACAAGTAATGTAAAAAAATTCAAACAGAATAGCAGCAATGCAATGCAAATGAGTTCGGGATAATTTACTACTGGCAGTTAAATGATTATTCTCCTTCTCCTTTTCTTTGTCAGGTTGTGTGCTCTCGTTCAGGACAGTTACGGGATATTCGGTGAGCTTCTTCTGCAGGGTGTGTCCACAGAAACAGAGATCCAGCTGAACTCTGAGCAACTGGAGGGTTGTGTGTGCCTCCTCCAGGCCCTGAGGGTCGTCCAGCGTCTCACACGTGACAAGTGAGTCCGTGATGTCACATGACACTAAAAACATCCTGCTGATCTGAAAACATCATTTTCATTTAATGAGTCATAATTGGAGGCTGTCCTGAAAAACGCACCCAAGTTAATTTCCTCTTCCTTAAAGATACTTTTTTTTCTTTTCTTTTTTTTTTCTTGACGCCACAGCTTAGCAGTTAGATGCATCTAGATATTAGGTAATGGATACTAAATAGACCACTAAAGAAATAGTTGGATTTAGGTGGAAAAAACAGCAATAAATAAATAAATAATTTTTATTTCTGACAATATTCTTATCTTTATTCATAACTTTAGATTATTTAAAGCATTATTATATATTTGTGTGTGTGTGTATTATTTATATATATATATATATATATATATTACACGAAAATTTTTTATGTATATAAAAACAAATACATATAGATACAATTTTGTCATATATTGTCTATATATATATATATATATATATATATATATAATATATACATACACAATATAATATATATAATCATTATATTATTTATTATATGTATGATATCTATTTTCACATTTCATATAAATTAATTTATAAATAAATACATTTTATTTCTGTCCATAATTGCGTTTTAATTATGTATGCATATTATATATTATTTATATATTATTTAGTACTATATATTTTCACATAATTAATTATATATTTTGCACATAAATATTTCAAATGTATGTATCATTAATTATATAAATATTATTTATATAAATAAATATTGAATTGTACAATACAAGTTTATTAATGAAGGAATATTCATTTATAGAATAATAATATGTATTTTTAGAATATTTATAAAACTATTAAAAAGCAAATATGGTCAGAAATAAATTGCTATTATGTCTATTTCTCTACAGTAAACCTTCTTCCTATTTTTTTCTAGTCTACACCCTGTTTTCTGGACTATTTGTAAATCATTAGTGAGCCTTACTGGTCTCCATTGACCTGAAAGTTAATATGAGCTACTGTTTCCAGCCTCACTGGCTCAGATTAGCAGCTCACAGTGTCAGAGTGTCTGCGTTGAGCATTTCTGGCATCTCACTACATGTGTCCGCTTACTCAAGATTGTGTGAGTCTCCTTTAACATCCATGTTGTTTAAGTTAAAGATGGCATGTGATGGGAATTCTGGTGACGTGTTTCCACGGATATGAACATGAGCCATGTACTCGAATGCACAAGATGCTTTTCAACATGCACAGCTTATGTGGGATCAACAGTCTCAGGGTGTATATATGGCTATATAGTGAATAGAGATTTACACTTATGGAAATTCTATAATGATTAAATGATTAAAACTCTAAAACGATGTGCCTTTTTTCCCATGGAACCCAAAAAGAGAAGCATAGCGAAAAGTCATGCTTTTTTCCATTAAATGAATGTGAATGGGTACTGGGACTGCCAGGCTCCAAAAAGACACTGGCATTTTGTGAAAAAAATTATGCATTTTAAGTCATTATTTACTAGTAATATCCTCTTCCGCCCCTATACCAGTCATATTCTGTTTAAAACAATCAAATCCAGAGTAAAGGGGAAGATTTTCAGTGGATAACATCTTACTTTCTGGTCTTTTCCTCACATAAAGGCAGCAAACAGCTTTAGTGGACTTTAGTGCATATCTGTCACAAATGAACAACTTTTTTTGGTAATTCTCAAATTTTTTTTAGTCCCCATACACTTTCATTATATGGAGAAGAACAGCCTGTATCTCCTCCTATTGTCTTCCATACACTTTAAAAAAATATTGTTGGTTTAACTTAAAGTACGTAACCTGGTTGCCTTAAAATTTTAAGTTGATTGAACTGGAAAAAGTGAGTTGAATACAATGAAGGAAATTGATTTAATCATCAGAAACTCAAAATAATAAGTTATCGCAACTAAATAAATTATTTAAGTTGATTTGACAAAATATATATATATATATATATATATATACAGTGCCCTCCACAATTATTGGCACCCCTGTTTAAGATGTGGTTGAGGACTTTTAAAAATTCTCCCTTTTTTTTAAACAACATAGAACCCAAATGCAAAAAAAGAGAAAAATCCAACCTTTTATTTAAGTACATTACTTTGGTGGTAAAAAAAAATGTAAAAATTTAGAAAAATAAAAACTTCAAATCCTGTGTCCCACAATTATTGGCACCCCTAACAATTCCGCTGAAAAATGTAATTGATTTTTTAAAAAATATATATTTTCTGTAGTTGCTAATGTTGGTCAGGGTATCTAGGAACTTTTAATTAGTAATTCATGACTTCCTATTTCCCTGGGGTATAAATATGACATGACACAGAGGCCTAATTCTCTTACCCATTTGTCAACATGGCAAAGACAAGAGAACACACCATTCAAGTAAGGCAGATGTGTGATGACCTTTATAAGTCAGGCAATGGCTACAAGAAAATAGCCACTCACCTTATATTGCCCATATCTAAAGTTAGAGGAATCATTAAGAAGTTTAAAACAACAGGAACAGTGACAAACAAGGCTGAAAGAGGTCCCAAGTTTATCTTGCCACAACGCACAGTGAGGAGGATGCTAAGAAAAGTAAAAAAAAGTCCTAAGCTCACTGTCACAGAATTGCATCAAATAGTGGCATCTTGGGGTCACAAAATCTCCAAAACAACCATCAGACGCTCTCTACATGCCAACAAGATGTTTGGGAGGCATGCTAGGAAAAAGCCTTTTCTCACTAACACTGACAAACGTAAACGTCTGGAGTTTGCCAAGCGGCACTGGGACTTCATCTGGGATCGTGTGCTTTGGTCGGATGAGACTAAGATTGAGCTTTTTGGCAACAAACACTCTAAGTGGATCTGGTGTAAAACAAAAGATGTGTATGCCGAAAAGTACCTCATGCCCACCGTGAAGTATGGTGGAGGATCTGTGATGCTGTGGGCCTGTTTCTCTTCCAAAGGCCCTGGGAACCTTGTTAGGGTGCATGGCATTATGAACGCTTTGAACTACCAGGACATTTTAAATAAAAACCTGATGGCCTCTGCCAGAAAGCTGAAGATGGGTCGTCATTGGGTCTTTCAGCAGGATAATGATCCAAAACGTGTGGCAAAATCTACACAAAAATGGTTCAGTCACAAACTCAAGGTCCTCCCATGGCCATCTCAGTCCCCAGACCTCAATCCAATCGAAAACCTGTGGGGTGAGCTAAAGAGGAGAGTGCACAAGAGAGGGCCCAGGATACTGGATGATCTAGAAAGATTTTGCAAAGAAGAATGGTCAAAGATCCCTCTCTCTGTGTTCTTCAATCTTGTGAAATGTTATAGGAGGAGATTAAGTGCTGTCTTGTTGGCAAAAGGGGGTTGTACAAAGTATTAACATCAGGAGTGCCAATAATTGTGGGACACATGATTTGAAGTTTTTATTTTTTTTAATTTTACATTTTTTTTTACCACCAAAGTAATGTACTTAAATAAAAGGTTGGATTTTTCTCTTTTTTTTGCATTTGGGTTCTATGTTGTTTAAAAAAAAGGGAGAATTTTTAAAAGTCCTCGACCACATCTTAAACAGGGGTGCCAATAATTGTGGAGGGCACTGTATATATAATTATTTAGGTTTAGTTTATTTTCTATTACAGTTTTAGTTTATTTTTAGTTTTCATTTATTTCCTATCAGTAATTTCAGTGCTTCAACTTATTTCTAATAGTTTTGTATTGTTGACAGTTTTCTTTTAATATTTCTATTTTATTTCAGCATTATTTGAGTTAACAAAAATGTTTTTAATAGTTTTTGTTTTAGTTAACGGTAATAACCCTGTCTGGAATGACGTGAGAGTGAGTAAATGAAGGCAGATTTGTAGTTATTTATTTATTTATTTTTGGTGAAAAACAAATAAATCATTTTGTGCATGTTTGGATCGGTTAAACATGTCTCTGCAGAACACGTTCTGACAGTCATCTTGCTCATCTTCTCTTTGTTTCATCTTGTTTGTTTACATCTGAATGCTGTTTCACATACATCTCAATCCTCAGCTTGGAAAGGTGAGGTTTTTTTTAGAGTTAATGCTCAGGAATAGACGTCTTTCTCCAGAAAGGAACAGTACGGTTGTCTGTCCTGCAAGACATTAAACTGTCTAGCTTAATTTCAGTCTGCTTCTCGTCCCGCTGGACTGGATAGGGCGGTTGAGCGGGTCACAGGAAGAGACTGTGTTGAAGACAGCTGTGGAACTGGTTGTGGATGATCAGATCATTCAGCACTGAGGCACACACAGGCCTCAAAAACACTTTTAAACTCCACAAAGATCTTATCATTCTTGACATCTATGAAGCTGAACTGAAGAACTTGTAATGAAACATCAAGAACTTCTGATATAGCGACTCTTACTGCTAAAATGAACACATTTTAGCCAAATTTTAGGTTACAATTTATTTTAGTGGTCCACTTTAGACATTCTAATAACTATAAGTAAATTGTTAACTACATGTCAACTAACTCTCATTATAGTATTAGTAGACTCCAGTTAGTCTAGGGTTCGGGTTAGTAGGATAAGTTTACATGTAGTTGCAAAGTTACTTATAGTTAGAAGAATGTCTAAAGTGGACCATTACCCAGGTTTATTCTATAAATTCTATTTTTTTATTCTATAACTAAATTTCTAGAAACTTTGAAGCCCACATGAGCTAAAGCATAGCTATGAACTTTGTTCTTACCACTGTTATTTTAGTAATGTTTATATACTATTATAGTTTTTATTAAAATTTTATTTATTTTTCAATAATCAATTTAGTTTAATTTTTAAGTTGTGCATTTATATTAGAATTATATAATTTTTTCAGTTTAATTTGCAGTTAGTAATTTAACTTTTTAAAAAAATTAAAATTTGTAAAAAAAAAATATATATATATATAATTTTTTTTACCAAGACTGTATTTTTACATTTTAAAATAGAATTTTAGTTTTATTTCAGCTTAATTCCAATGAACAAAAAAGTTTTTAATAGTTTAGTAAACGATAATAACCCTGTTACCTATTTACGCCATATCAGTTATTATTGTGGGATTGTGGGAGTGTTTATCTGCTAATCTTTTTAAGTCGAACACAGACAAAGCTGATCTCTGTCCTTTTGTCTATATGTCAGTCCGTCTGAAATGTTATTTTAGACGCATAAACTTGTAATTGGAGTGTTAACACAACAGCTAGCCTGCCAAATATTCACCATTTTCAATAGAAATAATTTAATTCTGGAATGTTTTATGACATACTGTTTACGTGTGTGTGTGTGTGTGTGTGTGTGTGTGTGTGTGTGTGTGTGAACAAGCCTCAGCCTGCTAGTGTAACTGATCTCATTCTTGTCAGCAGACACTGTTCATCTGCAATAGAAGCTCAACTTGGCAGCACGTCAGTCTAACCGAAGCTAATGAGACTGAGATTGTAAACACTCCACCTTTAGCTCCCCGTTTTCTGGAAGGATCCCTGAATATGAACGTTCAGAGATTGAAACTTTGTCCCCCTCTCTTCTTCTCTTTGCAGATGTTCTTTGCTCTTCAGTATGATTGACAGTTTGTGGCCTCCTCCGGTTGATCCAAAATCTCATGACGATCTTCCACAGTCTCCCAGCGTAGGTCTTCAGATCACATCATAAATCACAGCAGTGTTTGCTTCATATTTATCGCACATACCTCCTGCTTCTGGAAGATTCCACTTGGGCAGTGGCTCATCATGTCAAAACAACCACCACCACGCTGGATACTTAACCAAAGTACATAGAAATAAACCTTCATAGCTCAAAGATACAAAATTACTTTTAGCAGTGGTTGCTAATACAAACATTACTGGAGTTTCTCGTACCAACAGTTAGTATGGGAACAGTTAGAGGGAATGATGCCTCAAATCAACCGGCTCTTACTTTTATACGTCAGATTGTCACATAGCAGGTGATTACATCGCCAACAAATCCTATAGACTTTTACACTAACCTAGAGATCAGAATCAGGAATGTTAACTACATCTTCAATCAAATTTCCCCTACAAGATCTGGTTGTTTTGTTCATATTGTGTTGTTAAATGACCCACCTGAACTATCTAGTTTGTTTTTGAATAATCAGGGCATTTTGTGCATTCCAGGATCGAGTCCCACCACCCAGTTTCTGCTATAGGTTGAGCATCCAGCAGGGTCACATGGTTCCGTTATCAAGACCGGCTGAATCTCCACTGTACCGCCCACCTGTGCTTCAGACGCTGCGAGAGATCCTTCAGGTACAGCTTCAGAATTATGGCATCGGATTGGCAGAAACGTCTTTTATCACGCATTCTTAAAAAATAAAGACAAACCTGAAAAATATCAAGGAATTTTAAACAGGACCTATTATGCTTTTTACATTTTCAACTTTTCTTAGTGTGTATTGTTGTTGTTTGAGCATTTGAATGCAAAGTTACAAAACACAAAGTCCACTCAAAGGGAGTTTATTCTCTTTATCAGTAAGTGTTTCTAATAGCCCTGTTTTCTTGCGGGATCGAACACATCACAATATTCTTCATTATTCCGCAAAAACTGGGACATGGCCTAGTTAAGTTGTGTTAAGGCCCTGATATACTTCAAGTGAAATCAAAAAACGAATTGTGTGACGTCATTTCAAACTAAATCAGGCCAAAGCGAAGTTCGAACCTTCCGGAAATGTAAACAAACACCTTAGAAGTTCCATTGGTCGGTGGTGATGATGTAATAGGTAGGTGTGGCTCTGAGGCTCCGCCTTCTTTGAGGTGTTCAGGACGTCCACGAGTAAAAACATGAACACACTGGAGAGTCGCTTTATAGTAGAAACTGAAGTTGTAATTCTAATTAAAAGAGACACTGACGCTGTTTTTATTGTTTAATACTGTAATGCTGCTTGCTTCGCAGTGATTTATTTATAGATCGATATATTCTATGACTATAATAAACGTAACGTGACTCAGAGCTGGTGCAGACATCCACATTGCTATGATCAGATGCTTTCTTAAAGGTGAACTCTGGTCAATTTTAACATTGAGCTCATTTTTTGTAAATTTGGAGTGCTGTCAGTACAGACAAAAATGACAAAAATCTGTTTTGCCTACACCGTGTTATCCTCTTTTTAAAATTCACACTCTGTTGATTTCGATGGGGCAAGTTCTAAACCTGCGCTTAGCCTCGAAACATCCTTGATTTGTCATTACGAGTGCACGGCCATGTGAGTGGTGTTATTAAGAGTGACCACGGTCAATCTGACTGCAGTAGATGTGAAAGATATTAAATAAAAATGCTCACATACCTGTATTTACTTCCTGTTTTCGTTCGTTCGTTCGCGCGCGAACTCGACAATCGACTACTGTGGGCTTCGACCGAAAACAGGAAGCTAATACATGTATGTGATATTATATTATAAATATATTAAATATTTCAGCTTTACATTATTTAAATCGATTTAGTTTTGTTTTTAGTTAACAACAAGAAGACTTGTGTGTAAACCATGAAACAATGTTCTTTTAATCTAAGTTGATTTACTTCTGACTTGTTCTGTCTTTGTTTTTTAGGATGAATCTTTGAGATTTCGTTGCAGCTTTCGTGCCACTGTGGTCCATAAACATTTATTGGTAATGTTTTCTTAAACTATTTTTTAGCAATAAATGCATAAATCAGATAATCATTTTCATCATAGCTACAGGTGAAACTCGAAAAATTTGAACATCGTGCAAAAGTTCATTTATTCCAGTAATTCTACTTTAAAGGTGAAACTAATAGACTCATTACATGCAAAGTGAGATATTTCAAGTTACCTTTTAACCTTTTAAGTTGAGTTACTGAAAGAAATGAACTTTTGCACGATATTCTAATTTTTCTGTGTGAAGCACCAGGGCATGCCTGATTTAAGGAGTGTGGGAAATTGTCCTTAGGTTTTACCTTTGGGTTGTCTTCTTAAGAACCCACCATAGCTGTTTTCCCACTACATTTGCCAAGTCTTCCCCCCTTCAGGGAAGCTTCCAAACTGTACACCTTCGTAAAAGCTTTTGGAAAGCTTTACACACTGTTTAGTGTTAGCTTCCCGTAAGTGACATCATCCTGTGACAATCTGCGTGATCGATCATGCAAACCCTTTGACTTTGGACTTTGATAACCTGGGATTTATTTTATTTGAGGTTAAGGGTCATGCTTGCATACTGAGGTGGACAGTAGATACACAGTTGATTAATGTGTTTTGTTTTTAACATTGCACATCTGCGTAGGTGCATGAATCAACAGTCGGTCTGGGAAAATGCCCAAGGAAACGCTTTATTCCTGTAATAATGACAGATTTAATTTCTTTATAAATGATGCAAACAATTGGAGTTTTATTTACATATGAATGTTAAGAGCCAATATCCCTGTAATTTATTAAAGAAATCTAATATAATATGATAAATATTATAGTATAGAAATTAAGTTCTATTCAATCTATCAATTATCTCCAAATATTTGAGGAGAAAAAATGTGCATTACCTATTAAAAGTCTTCCTGTATATTTCAGTGCTAATCTCAAACTCTCTATGAACAGTCAGTTCATATTAATTTATTCAGTAAAATGCACTGATTACCGCATGCATCTTGGTCTTGCAGAGCTCAAATACAGGCGAAATGCTGCTGTTTGTGACGGATCCCAGTCTGCAAACGGAGTCAAACACAGAGGGAAACAGGAGAACCGTAGCCGTGTGTGTGAACCCGTCCTGCCTGATCCGGAGCTCAGTAACACAGGCCCTGGACGCCCTGCAGCAACGGCCCGTTCTGAGGTTCAGAGATGCAGTGAAGGAGCATGGTATTTCATCACACACAGGAATGCATCATCTGTCTGAATGTACTCTCTCGTGCACACCTTTTTTATTGTGACAGTGCAAATGACTTGCTAATTGCTGGTTCATTCAATCGCAGTGGTATAATATTAGGACTTTTAGGACCGTTAAGATTTCTTTGCATTCTTATTAATGCAATGTGAAAATATTATTTTATCAAGCTTATAAATTATAATAAATCCTTATATATTTTTATATAATGTATTTATACGTCATGGTAGCATTTATTTTAGATAAGAAATTTAAAGGGGATATATGTAGTTTTTTACTTAAAATAAAATCTTTAAGATAGAGTCTTCATTTGTACATTTATGAGCCAACCATAATGTAACAGAAACAAACATGTCCACTACGGTTGCCTCTATCAGCCTGTAGGCTCAATTGTGTGTGGAGGAGTCGGGTCCGAATTGGCGTGAAAATTCACAAAATGTGACGTCATTCGCGTTCTCGTCTACTTGGGCTTACATCCGTACGTGCATTAGTGTTTCAAATGGACTGTTTCGGATGGTAAAAAGCAACCAAGAAACTCCTCGTAAGTAAAAAAAAAAGCCTTATCTAGTGCGGCCGATGAGCGTGCGAGTGTGCGCACCGAGAAAGAGCACGAGACTGGCTGCAGTTTCTCTAATGGCCACTGGTGTCAGTAACGGTTAGAAATGTCAGAACTTCCGCAATGCTCCTTTAATTATTTATGATTAATTATTTATAAAATAAATTTGTGCTTAATTGTAAATAATGTCACACAATCTTAATGGTACAAAAAGGAATATGACCTGGACATGTTTTCATGAGATTTTAATGCATGAAAAATTCAGTTTGTCGTTTTTTTTAAGGAAAAGTTCAGCACTTCTGAATGGAATCCATTCAAGCAGAAAACGCTCTGGTTCTGCTTCTTCATATCTGAACTATTTTGAGATTTAGAGGTTTCCTACATAAATCTTCATGTTGTCTTTCTTCAAAACCATGTAAAGAACGTTCTGTGACTTTAATTATGCTACTGCTCCTTTTCACTAAACCAGGTCAGATATTCTGCTGGGATCAGACAGTAATCCAACTGGAACCAGAGGACCCGGCTTTCTCCATACCACAGCCCATAATACTGGATCACCTGGGTCCAGAAGCCCTCCCCTTCTCTCTCTGCTCTGTCACAGGTTGGTATATTCCCCCCATAGCCTCCCCTGTTTTTGAGTTGGTGCGGTCCAGCCTGACAGAACCAGATCTCCGGGGTATACAAGATGTTTGTCCATTTAACCGAAACCAGTTGTTTGTTGGCTCAGGCTTTGTTCTTGATGCTTTGTTAGGGACCTTCTTGTGGTTTGTCATGTGCTTTTCCTTTTTAAAGATCTTTCTCCCCCACACTGAAGGAAAGTTGTCTTTTTGCCCGGTTTTGAGATATAAAAGTCTCATTTTGTTACAAAGTGCTCTGTTCATTCTCTTATATTAGTTTAACTCATGCAAAGTGATGCAATCTCACAGTATTGGTTTTTTTTATTATTCTGTAAATGATCCACAATTATGGTTAATTTTCAATAATAATGTTTCACCGCTTTTCCGAATGCAGAATAAGCGTAATCACTAAAACCAATATGTTATGTTATGTCTTATGTTATATGATATGTGTGGTCTGATGTGATGTGTTGTGTTATGTTATATGTTATATGTTATATGTTATATGTTGTTATGTTATATGTTATGTTATATATGTTATATGTTATATATGTTATATGTTATGTTATATGTTAAATGTTATATTTTGTTATATGTTAAATGTTATGTTTTTATGTTATATGTTGTTATATGTTATGTTATATGATGTATGTTATGTTAAATTTTATGTTGTTATATGTTATGTTGTTATGTTATATGTTATGTTGTTATATGTTATATGATATATGTTATGTTATATGATATATGTTATGTTATATATGTTATATAATATATGATATATGTTATATGATATATGTTAAGTTATATGTTATGTTATATGTTATACCATATATGATATATGTTATATGATATATGTTATGTTATATGTTATGTTGTATGATATATGTTATGTTATATGATATATGTTATGTTATGTTATATGATATATGTTATGTTATGTTATATGATATATGTTATGTTATGTGATGTATGATATATGTTATGTTATATGTTATATGATACATGTTATGTTATATGATATATTATATATATTATGTTATATGTTATGTTATTCCACACTGACGCTCTCACAGGTTTCATGCAGACATTATGTTCAGGTTGTTCCGTGTCCTGTTGAAGAACAGAAATGTGATATTTGACACTCCATGTTAGACTTTGAATCTCTTTCACCCTGTAGATAAGACAAATCATCTGACTCAAAAGTGTAACAAGCTCCAATAATCTTCTGCAGTGGTCAGCAACTTCAGCTTCTGGCTGTGTGCCGGAGGATTCTCCAGAGAGCAGAGGTTCATGCAGGGGTCTTATCACTCTGCCTGTTGTGTATTATCTAACATAGATGTGTCCTTGTGTGCTGCGTGTTACTGCTTGCGGGATGTTGTTTGACAGAAAATGTCCTAAATTTGAAAGTTCTCAGAAGTTTGAAGAACAAACTATTTAATTATGTGCTGATGTTGCCATGATGTTGTTATGTGTTATGTTATATGATATGTGTGGTGTGATGTTATATGTTATATATGTTATGTTATATATGTTATGTTATATGTTAAAATGTTATGTTGTTATATGTTATGTTTTATGTTATATGCTTGCGTGATGTTATTTGACAGAAAATGTCCTAAATTTGAAAGTTCTCAGAAGTTTGAAGAACGAACTATTTAATTATGTGCTGATGTTGCCATGATTCCTTTGGTTATAGTATTTCATCATTTCACAGTAGTATTGGCTTTTTGGGGGTAAATCAGAAGTGTAAAAATAGCAGTAGTCAGCTAATTTACTCAGTAAGTAGTAAAAATAACAGAAAGGGCTTATTCATAAGTAGCAAATGGAAACTAGTAAACTATTTATTATTACATATAACTTTGTTAGATATTAACACTATGCATGGTTTATCCTGTAATCATCCAGCAAAGTGATTTTAGTCAGTGTAATGACTGTGATTTGCATATGTTAATGTGCAGGTGTGATTGTGGCAGTGGACGAGAGCACAGCGTTCTCCTGGCCCACCTGCAGCCGCTGTGAGAGTTGCCGATTAGAGACTCGAGAAAAACAGTAAGTCCAAAGTTCTGTGCTAGACCGGTTCCAAGTCCAAACCAGTGAACTTTAAAGACAAGAAACAATCCTAAGTGATCGTCAGCCTACAGCTTAGACAGTGGTAGGGACATGGGGACACTCTTAGAAATAAAGGTTTTTTTATTGGTATCTACAGTTCCATAAAGAACATATAAGATCCATTGAAACTTTCCATTACACACAAGGTTCTTTAGATTAGAGAAATGTTGTTCACAATAATAATAATTTAAAAAATGGTTCTTTTAAGAACTGTTCTCTTAAAGTGTTTAGCACTGTGCCAATTCATTACCAATGTTTTGTAGAAATGCCTAGAGACATTATTACAGCAGCATCACAGCTGCAAATTCCTTCTTGTGTCATCTAATAAAATGAAGTGTTTATTGAGTCCCAACTGCGTTCTTTACCAAGTTAGGAAATTGAGTTTTCCCAAAGTACATTATTGGGGACATGTTTGTGGCATTTTATTTTGTTCCCGAAGCCACAAAAAACACTTATGATGTAGTTTGACATGACCATTTTTCACCCTTCTCCTTGAGCCTGAAGATTAAAGTCGTTATGAAACGGACTTTCTTCCATATATCCTAGTGAATTGGCTTCTCAACCAAAAAAGAGAACAAGTGCAGGATCTGATTTTGCCCATGTGGAATTGATTGAGTGACAGGTTGCCCCGCCCTCACGCCAATAAACGCGTCAGTAGAGAAAAGTGAGGCAAGAGGGAGAGGAAGTTATTAATTAAAGATAAAGGCACATGAATTAAACAAAAAAATGATAAATCAGTTATGATAAATGCTTTAATATTCCATAAAAATAATTTCTATTCACTTTTTCAACTTCTGTATTTAAATGAGCTCTATTATGATTGGTTGTAATTGGCTAATTTATGTGCATGTGAAGTCCCATACATTAAATGTCTTGTTTCACTCAGATTTTAGAAGTAAAATAGGTCGACTTCACTGAATGCCGGATGCATGTGTTCGTCTTATCCGGTCCATAAGTTTGTTGACCTGTGTCTGTTTAGAGTTAACGTGTAAGATCCCTCCATTACTTGAGTTTAACCACAATCCACTGCACGGCTAAATTGTTTTCACATTCCAGTGTAATAGCAAAGCCGAAGTGATGAATCATGGTGCCTTTAAGCCCTCAAACTGAAAAATAACAACTATAAAAATTGCATCTTTGTTGGTGTGCCGGTTCCTAGGAAAGGATTCCTGTGTTTAGCATGTGGAGCAGTGATGGATGAAGCGACCATAAAGATGCAGCTGGAGGTGTTTCTGAGCTGCTCCTCACTGAGCCACTGCACTGTCAAAGTCAAGGTGAGATGCTTTATGTAGAAAACCTTTATTCACATAGTGGGAATAAATATATCATTCTCATTACAGTTATGTAAATGCAACATTTCACATTATGCGTAATTAGGTCCAAAAATCAGTGCATTTTATGTGAAATATGGCCTCCTCGAGATGGGTTTGGTGAGATTCCAATGTTACTCGCTTAAAAACAAACTCTAAGACATCTGTATCTACATCTTAAATTACGTTAGAAGGACGAACATAAACACTCAAGAAAGTGAAGCTAGCATGATTTAATCACTCGTGCAGAAACTAGTGTGTCATCGAGAGTTTATCTTCACTCTGTTTTATTTCCTGGAAATTTCAGCGATAGCGGAGGGCCGCATATTATGGAACAGATTTAACAAGATACCTCTCGTGTGTTATCAGACATGTGCTTCACACCCACAGAACTGGAATAAACTTATGAAGCATACTATACTATTTTGGACCACTGAGTAACTGATGCATGAAAGGGAACGTTTATGCATTCTGCTCTTAAATGTCAGATTGCTTTTTATTATTATTTTCACTTGTTTCTTCAAGAAGCACAAAGACTGATTGTCTTAATAAAGTCTAAATTAAAGGTATCGTTCCGCAGTAGTTTCAATTTTGATATTTTTAGGTCAAACCGTTCTCGTCTGTCAGTCATATAATGGAGGTCTATGGTCACCACCTCAAAGAGCATGCACAGAGAAGTCCCAATTAAACATGATTTAATGTCTCGTAAATGTAAGTACACACTGGTGGCCTAAGACACGAAACGAGCGGTTTGTGTGAGAAAACTAACAGTATTTATATCGTTTTTACCTCTTGTAACCACCGCAACGTCCAAGTCACCTGAGGGCGTTGGCGCTTTGTGGCTGTAAAGAGGTAAAAACGATATAAATACTGTTCATTTTCTCACACAAACCGCTCGTTTCGTGTCTTAGGCCATCAATGTGTACTTACATTTACGAGTCATTAAATCATGTTTAATTTGGACTTCTCTGTGTATGCTCTTTGAGGTGGTGACCATAGACCTCCATTATATGACTGACAGACACGAACGGTTTGACCTAAAAATACGACTGCGGAAACCCTTGAGGTAAGCTATCAAAAATTAATTTCAAAGTGAACTATCCCTTTAATGCAAAGCTATTCTTTAATGCGTTTGATTGATACAACTATCTTCCTCTAAAAGAAGCAATGCATTTACATAAATAAAGCCTTTGGATGATCTTTTCTAAGTGCAAATTTCTCCAAATGCTCGATTAGACGGGGTCAGACAGGGTTGATTTCCTGAGTCTAAATGATTTCAGTCTGTACAGAAAATATTAATGTTTCACACAGTATTCCTGGCACATTGTGTGACTCAAATGATGATATTAATGCATTCATGTGCATGTTTCAGTTGCAGCAGAAGACCATTAATTCTCTCCTGAACTCGACAAGGTGTCCTGAGGTAAGATTCTGGCCTAGACAGAAGTCACTCTGTTTCAGTTTTTAATTGAGAGTTAATTGTTTGTTTGTTTTGTGTGATCTGTTTCTTTGACAGGGTTACAGTGTGGAAAATGTTCTTGGGTCGGAAATCGGTCCTCTCAGCACCTTAGTCCACGTGGTGAACAGAAGTCACACAGTTTGGATGGGTTTGGAGGAGTTATCCTTTGACCTGCACTGACTAGCACACTCATATGTTGATATTGTGTCTTGCCTTACTTCCAAATGAATGTAAATAAACAAATGAAAAAAGAGCATAGTGCCAGAATAACTCCACCACCTGAACCAAATTACTTTCTGAACGATCATTCTGGACCCTGTAGTTTTCAAACCACAATCTAATTAATATTCAAATGAAAGATGCTCATGTGATGCCCAGTATAAGCTGATAAAATACCTTTGTTTTTGTCAATCGATTGCCAAAAGTTGCTTCTAGCCACATTACGGTGATTTAAGTGAAATTATTTGAACAAAAAAGAAAGTTTAAACAAGCTCTGATCTGCCTTATTGATGTATTGCTCTCTATGACAGTACATTCACTATAAATTAAAAGTGTTTTGCCTCCAAATAACTGAAGTCATTTTCATTAAAGGTGAGGGGTTTTTCCCCACAACCATTTCAAAAGATAATTTTTATATGTCTGATAACTGATTATTTTGACTGATAATTTTATTCCTACTTCTTGACTCACTGATAATCATTACACTGCAACAATACTCTGGTCATTTGTATATCACATATGCTGTGTGGACATTTGTATTATGGTTAATGATTATTTACGTCAGCGAATTGATTCTAAAGTGGTCTCTAGGGCCTGTAAACTACTATAAAACAGTTGACGACTAATGACTTTGAAGTAATAGAACATTTATAAATATTTGTAAGCAATAAATACATTAAGTATGCTTCACATGTGAATACTATTGTTTTTGTTTTTATGTAAATTGCTGTTCAATTCATTAAGCACTTAAATGGTAGTTGTAGCCCTTTTCTTACCAACTTAGAAGCAAAAAAATTGCCTTTACGCCTGACAGCATAGTATATGTTGTAGAACAAAACACGAATGTGTCTCTAATGTTTACCGCAAACATTACGTTACCCATGTAAACCCATAGTCAATCGTTGAACTGATTGACAGCTGGACCTTTCACAGGACCACGCCCCCCTCAGACCCGCCCCCGTGCAAACATGCGCGTTCACATATGGATCTTTTTGAAATTTGACGTCGTTTTATTATACATTTGTACACACTGTACAATTTCAAACATGCTCTGGCATTAATACGAAGTTTGGGGGAATTATAAAACAAGTACCATAAAAACATATATGAAGCCTTTTTTTCTGTAATAATTTAGAATACAAAAACATTCACAAGAAGAATAATCACAAGTCCATCATCCAATGCGTAACTTAATGCACGTCTGCTACAGAAGAACATAGTAATTCAAGTTCACTGAGGTATGTTTTGGCAGGCTCTCCGACGCGCGTCACCGACTGTCAACAACCGCGCGCGCCGCCGTCCCAAACGAAAGTTCGGGTCTCTGTTTGAAGAAGTTTCTGAGGCTGCCCAGTTCTCGCGACAGGTGATCGATCGTTTTGTGCAGGCGCTCGTTCTCCGCGTTCAGCTCGATCATCTTGTGCTGCATCTCCATGTTGCGCTGCTTCGCCTTGTCCCTGCTTTTACGCACGGCGATGTTGTTCCTCTCGCGCCGCTGCCGATACTCGTTGCTGTGTCTGTCGACAGTCTTTTTGCCCTTTTCCTTGCCCGGCCTCCTGTGGCTAACGGGTTCTGGCTCAGGTGTGGTGGGAGGTGTGGGCTGTCCCGTGTGCATGAGGCTCACGGACGTCTGCGCGCACGTCTCGATCTGAGATGGCAAGGACGAGGATTGGTCGCTGTCGCTCCAGTCCGACTCCCTCTTGATCGCTGCGCAAAACGTGCCCTTGCCAAACCCCCCCAAGTCCTGGTGCTGCTGGAGCCTCTCCGAGCTCTTTTGCGCAAAGCCATCGATGCTCTGCGCGTAAAAGTCGGGTTTTTCTTGCTTCATGGTGTTGTTGAACAGGTCTGCAAAGAGCTCGTCGTTGCAGATCTCCAGCGGGACCGTGGACATGGACTCGATGTAGGTGCTGAAGTCGATCGCGCTCTCGTCGTCGTAGATGGCAGGAGCATTATTGAGCTCCATCATGCTGCTGCTGCTGCTGCAGTTGTTGTTGTTGTTATTGTCCTGGGACGTGCCATGCTCGCCCCCTGGTTTGGCATCCCCTGGCATCACTTTATTATCATAGAAATTGGCAGGCTCCATGGCCCAGCTCATGTTGCATGGTGGCGTTACGCACTGCGAGTCCAGGTTGTATATGTCAGACATGGACGTAGAGAAACTCACTCAGATGGTACCAAAATCAGCAGATCCCTTCCGAGTCCACTGGCAGCTTAAAAGAAAAACCCCAAAAGCGTCTCGAGCAATCACACCCTGTTCCGCGCAACCAGCGCGTATCTCCAAAAGTCTGGCTGTCTCGGGCACAGGTGTTAAAGTCCTCGTAGCTCTCTATCGAAACTTCGCCGTCCTCGTGCATAAGTACCAGCGCTCGGCTTGCGTCACAGCGAAAACGCCCCCTTCCAGAAGCCAGTGAATGTCCAGAGGCTGTCACGTGTTCCGCCCGGGCTCCTATTTGAGGAGAGTCGGGTGTGCATGAACGCCTACCAGAAGACACACTTCAAGAAGAGCTGTCAGAACTTGGTGTTGGAGCAGGACATGTTTGAATGCGTATGCATGTGTGGAAGTGAAAGTCATTTAATGCGTCACTACCAATATACACGTGTAAATACGAATCAAAAAATTGAAAACGAACTTTAAAAACTTTGTTTTTGTGGGACATGTTTGAATGCGCCACTACCGACATGTATAAATACGAATGAAAGCATTGAAAAACAAACTTATGAGTTTTTATTTTTGTCCAAAACTAATTTTCCTTCGGGGACATTAAAGAAAATCTTTAAAAAAAAAAAAAAAAAAATATATATATATATATATATATATATATATATATATATATATATATATATATTTGTATGTTGACATGTTTTAATGCGTATGTATGCGTACAAAAAATGATCGGTTAGAGAAAACTAATTTAATAATGCGCCATTACCAGCATGCATAAATAAATAAATAAAATTGGTTTATTATTATTGTTATTATGATATCGTGTAGTAGTAGTGTCTGGTGTGAGCTGAAATACCACATCTGTTCTTTTCATCTGGGTGTTTATTTTATTTTAGAAGCGTACAAATTCAGTACAAAAACAATATTACAAAATACAACAAAGAGTTCGATTAAAGCAAAGGAAATCAAAAGAAAATCGTTTTCTAAATACATACAACTAGCCTACTACATTTGGCTCATTGGGGCACTTTATCTTGTCAACCACATAGACATCTAGTGGATGACAGGGGAATTACCTCTGTTTACTCTGCGTTGATGTTCTTTCCCGCGAAAATGTCGGACTATACCAAACCGTTGGTGGGATTCGTTTATGTCACCCCTTCTATAATCGTCATTCTGCAATTAAGAACGTTTGAAAAATACATTTCTTTCATGATAAACGTATGTAATTGCAATTTTATTGCGTAATCTAAGAAATAAGGATTTGTTATATAATTAATGTACCCACGTATCGCGCTTCTCCCCCTCTAGACTGATAGTGAGGAGCCTATTCTTGGTTGGTCAAAATTTCCCCGCGAAATTTACGTCACAGTCAGTTTCGCGCCACCGTTCACATCGGAAGGGAAACAGTGCGAACGGTAAGTGTTATGATGTGTTATAAACTAACCGTATTTTTATTAAGTAAACGTAATCACGAGGACCTGAAACTGATTTTGATCAACCGGGCGGTAACATAGTGTGTCATGGTTTAAAATAACGGTTATTTTGTATCCTATTTTAAAGTCTCGGTAATGTCATTGTATGAGATGCAGCGTGCTGCTCGCATTCACTGTTGCAAAGTTACTATTCATCCTTCTTAACGTTACCTTCTTAATAAAACCACATATTTATTTCCCATGTGTGTTTACGTAATCTTAGGTATGTTCTTTTGTGTTGATTTACACTTTTTAAATGTGAAGTCTGTGTCTGATTTATTCCCTGTGAATCTCATGCTAACATCAGAATTATTGAGTCTGTTGACAAAATGAGTGTTTATCATTTGTTTCTATTAACTTTTGTGATTCATTGACATTTTTCTTAAAGGTATCGCAGAGTAATGTGATAATGATCTAATTTGTTTCCTTTTGGGGGAAAAAATCATAGGACAAAAATATTGACAGTTCATAAGAACTATACAAATTATAGGCCATTTATTTATATATATATATTATGCTAGACTGTATTTTTAAATGTCACTATTACAGTGTAATTTTATATTTAAGAACTTAGTTATATTAATCAACAACATGTACGTACTATGGGCTTATGCAATTATGCATAATTTACTGTTATTATAATGGTAAGTGCATGTAATGTTAACAAGGACACTGCAAAATAAAGTGGTACCTAAACATGCAGCTATTAGAATTTATATGAAATGAAATTAAGTTTAAATTAAATTGTTTATATAATGTAATATTTAATGATTCAAGTTTAGAAATCATTGAACTGAATTTTGGTTCCAGGTCACTAATTTTGAGTTAACTTTTCAGTTTTGAGTCAAGATGTCTTCACCATCATCTCAGAGCCGTAAGAGAGACCCTCCGACCCGTGAGTCCACACCATGTGGTTTTTAATTCGTGGTATTTTGTCATGAGGTTTGTCTTTGACCATTGCTAACCAGGTTTGTGTGTTTGCAGCCGCGAGCGAGGACCCCCTCTCGCCGCCGTCTCAGCGCTCCAGAGCCCATGACACGTCCACAGAGCTTCAGCCCATGCCCACATCTCCAGCCATGGACGCCTCGCTGTTCTCCAGTCCTATGGCTCCACGCTCTGGTATGACTCAAACTCAACATCATATTTGCATTGAAATGAATTGCTCGTGCATTTGAATTTGGGGAAGGTCTCTAAACATCAGGATTTGTTTCATCCAGTCCTGCAGAGTGAGATCGATGCCAGTTCTCCGCTGATGTACGGCACTCCCAGCTCCAGGGTGGAAGGAACGCCCCGCAGCGGCATACGCGGGACACCGGCACGGCAGCGGCCCGACCTGGGATCCGTGCGGAAAGCCCCGCAGGTCGACATGCACTCCGAGCCGGTGAGGGAAAGTCCTTATTGTTTGTCGTTTAGTTTTAGAGTTGAATCTTTTCATTTTTGACTCTCTGGGTGTGTTTTTAATAAATGTAAGGGATAGTTCACCAAAAATATTTTTTTTGTAATATACTCACCCTCAATTTGTTCCAAACCTGTGTGAGTTTTAGTGTTCTGTTGGAGGAAATAGTTGGAAAATGATTTTTTTCTCAAATAGTGAGGAGATTCACCCCTTCCATGTAAAGCGCTTTGAGTGCAGAGAAACGCTCTACATAAATGTAATGAATTATTATTAGGGCTGTCAAATGATTAATCGCATCCAAAATAAAAGTTTGTGTTTATATAATATATGTGGGTGCAGTGTGTATAATTATTTTGTATATATAAATACACACACATGCATTTATATTTAAGAAAAAAAAATGATATATAAAATATTTATATAATATAAATTATATATAAATCTATATACAGTATATACATGTAAATATTTCTTAAATATATACAAGCATGTGTGTGTTTATATATATATATATATATATATAAATTAATTATACACAGTGCACCCACATATATTATGTAAACCCAAACTTTTATTTTGGATGCGATTAATCGTTCGACAGCCCTAATTATTATTAAATTATTATAAAAAAATTCAAAATATGTTTTTGGGTTCACTATCCCTTTAAAACCTAAAACCTTAAATATGAATATTTATGGTCTTATAAGTGTTAATATTTTACTGTGTTTTTTTCATGAGCTTCAATCAGGGTGTGATTAAAGACAACAACTTTTTTTTCCCATTCACATGACTGTATACAAATAAAAAATAACGGTATTTGGTATTATTCAAAATGATAATTTTATTATTTAAATTCTAAAAATTCAACAAATTAAAGTAAAAAAAAATAATAATAAAGAAAGAAATATATCATTGCAAGAATACGAATGTGCTGGGTCATAAT